AATCGTCTCATTGCAGCAGGAATAAAAACATTTCTGAAGCTCAGATTTACCGCTCGTTTTTATGTCTTCATTTCATGGTATTTTAGATTTTATTTTGTTACTTTTCACTTTCCACAGTGTTTCCAGTGTTTCCAGTGTTTCCAGTGTTTCCAGTGTTTCCGCAGTGTTTCCAGTGTTTCCACAGTGTTTCTAGTGTTTCTAGTGTTTCCAGTGTTTCCAGTGTTTCCGCAGTGTTTCCAGTGTTTCCAGTGTTTCCAGTGTTTCTAGTGTTTCCAGTGTTTCCACAGTGTTTCCAGTGTTTCCACAGTGTTTCTAGTGTTTCCAGTGTTTCCAGTGTTTCCGCAGTGTTTCCAGTGTTTCCAGTGTTTCTAGTGTTTCCAGTGTTTCCAGTGTTTCCGCAGTGTTTCCAGCAGGGACGTGCGGTGAGGTTTGTGATTGGGGAGGCACTGACTTTAAAAGTCAGATTTACAATCATTATTCAAATAAAATAGCATTTAATCACCAATGCAATGACATCCACAAACTTTATATACTGTAAAGATAAGAGAACCAGCTTCTTTTAATAATCTCACAACAAATCTAGCTGCTGACTCTGCTCCGCATCAAACAACATCTTTAAGAAGCGCAGGTGCGAGAGACGCGAGGAGAGAGAGACGCGAGGAGAGAGGAGCAGAGAGAGACAGAGAGGAGCAGAGAGACGGAGACGCGAGGAGAGAGAGACGCGAGGAGAGAGGAGCAGAGAGAGACAGAGAGGAGCAGAGAGACGGAGACGCGAGGAGCAGAGAGAGACGGAGACGCGAGGAGAGAGAGACGCGAGGAGAGAGGAGCAGAGAGAGACAGAGAGGAGCAGAGAGACGGAGACGCGAGGAGCAGAGAGAGACAGAGAGGAGCAGAGAGAGACAGAGAGGAGCAGAGAGACGGAGACGCGAGGAGAGAGAGAGACGGAGACGCGAGGAGAGAGAGACGCGAGGAGAGAGAGACGCGAGGAACATAAACAATAATTTAAACAAGTTGCAGAACTCTTGAGCAGTGTTTGAATCAGTGTTTTTCGGAAAAGCACTACTTTGCCGGTATCTGTCAATGTTCAACATAAAACACAGATTAACAAACTCCTCCCCCGCAGCCGGACTAACCTCGTAAGTCCAGTGGTGGTCTCCCAGTCTATATTAATTCTTTCTTTGTTTGAAAGTCCAATTGAGAAAAAAAATCTTCATTCAAATCATCCATTTTCCAGCAAAAGAAATAGCATTTTGGGCTGATTGTTTGTTAGCAACTCTGGTATGAACTTTATGCTCACTATCACCCCTAGCGGTGAGGCACAGATACCGCCTGCCTCACGCCAAGCTTTTTCCTTGTGTGTTCATCTACGATCAAAAGACTTAAACTAAGTATAAATTGTACACACATACGTGCAATACACTACTAAACACTAAGAGGAGTTTAAAAAATGTTTTTAAAGCAGGATATTTGAAACAAACGGTGATATATCAACTGCACGAGCTGAGTGCACTCAGACACACACACACACACTGTGAGGGAGCGGTCTGAGGTGAGGCACGCAGGAGCGCTGCCTCACCTCGTCTCTTTGAATAGGAATAACGGGATTTCGGCGATTTTGACTTCAGAAATGATCAAAATTGATGGGAACCGTGCCGAATATACATTAAAAGCATAGGACAGTGGATATAAATTATATATTTAAACTAAAATAATTATTAGTTTCCAATAATGGCAGGTGAGGCTCTGCCTCCCCTGCCTCCCCTGACTGCACGTCCCTGGTTTCCAGTGTTTCCAGTGTTTCCACAGTGTTTCCAGTGTTTCCACAGTGTTTCTAGTGTTTCCAGTGTTTCCACAGTGTTTCCAGTGTTTCCACAGTGTGTCTAGTGTTTCCAGTGTTTCCACAGTGTTTCCACAGTGTTTCCAGTGTTTCCACAGTGTTTCTAGTGTTTCCAGTGTTTCCAGTGTTTCCGCAGTGTTTCCAGTGTTTCCAGTGTTTCCACAGTGGGCGACTGCGGCTGTAAAGTACCAAACTGTTCTTGTTCCCTTTGGCAAGACACTTCACTCATGTTGCCTTGATAGAATGGGTGTGTGAAGGGGTGTTGGTGGCACAGACTGGTGGCCTCTTTTCTGTCGGTGTTCTGTCAGTCTCCACCGTGTTTGGAGTGAATGAATAATGACATGTGAAGCGTCTCTGAGTGTCCTAAAAAGCTCAGTATAAAACCAACATCCTTTTTTGACTATACAGTTGGCAAATTTGTGATATTTTAGTTGCCACACTTTTGAAACGGTTTGAGATGTGCCATATAAATAAAGTGGATTAGATCTCAGCTGTAAACGAGAAAGAAAAAGCCACAATGAGCACAGTCCAAGACTTTTATTTATGTAGCACTGTGGGAGGTCAGAGCTATGTCAGAGTGATGTCACATGAAGTGTTCATAATGGGTTTATACGACACACACATGTTCACATGCAGAGGACCACGCTTCATAGCCTGTATTCAGATGCTAACCCGCTAGCTCAGTGAAGCCCAAAAGGTAAGAGCTCATGAACGAGGTTTTGCTCCAACTCGCTCTGGCTCCTTTAATACTCTGTAACCCTTTCTGTCACACTCACCCTTTTGTGCTTAAAAGTCTGTGTTTTAGTGCTCTCTGCGATCCTGGTGTTTATATTGTTATCTCGTCTTTGTAAATCCAGATAAAAGCCATGTAAGGATTGACCAATCAGATGCCTTAATTCATGGGGATAACTCCAGCTTGCCTTAGCAACCATGTTAGCAACATGTCTGCCTCTGTTACAGAGCAAAGCTCAGGCCGCAGAGGATATGCCCATATAAGGATATTAGCTCCTCCCAGCTTATGTACTCATAATAATAGTGATAATAATGCATCAGTTTTATATAGCGCTTTTTTGGACACTCAAAGATGTTTCACATGTCATTATTATTCACTCCATACACGGTGGTGATAAACTACTACTATAGCCACAGCTGCCCTGGGGCACTCTGACAGAAGCAAGGCAAACGGTGACGTCACATGTGGTCAATCTGCTCCTATTATACACTCTGTGTTGACACACAGGATACTTGTGTTGAAACCATGGATAAAAGTGGGAAAGCGAGCCGTGTTGTTTGGGTCTGTGTCAGAAAGAAAAAGCCGTGAAATCTCCTGTAAGGCACTGGGACAGAGTAGAAAAGATTCCTGTTTGCATCTGTGCACAGTGCACTGCTGCAAACCCGACAGTGTTAGCATTAAAGCAGGACACGCTGATTTAAACATAAGCTAGCTGGAGCCCATTTCCGAATATGGGCATTTGTTCCAACAGCATTAGCTTTGCATCGTAACAGGGGCAGAGCTGCTGCTAAGACAGTTTTTTTACTCTTGCTTTTTGACATTTGATGTAATTTTTTATTTATTCATTTTTTAGTTTTACTTTGTTTTTGTTTTATTGAATTGGAATCTGCGGTACATTGAGGATTCTTGGAAATTTACGGTGCACTATCAATAAAATGTATTATTATTATCATCTAATGGCCAATCCTTATATGTGTCATATCTGGATTTATAAAAACAAAATCACAACACCGGGATCACAGAGAGCGCTAAACCACAGATTTTCTTATGCCCAAAATGGTGAGTGTGACACAAACACGTACTGAACAAGAGGAGTTTACTTTTACATTTAAGTCAATAGGAGCCAGAGAGAGTTGGAGCAAAACATCCTACTTGAGCACTTCCCTATTGGATCATCTGCTCTGTCCATCTGTGTACAGTCTGTGGTGGAGGCTGGAGGCTCGCTGCAGCTGATAAATGTTTGATTAGACACAGGAAGCAGAGAGAGAGCTGAACCTGAGATTAGCAACAGCAGCAAGCAGCACGCACACACACACACACACACACACACACACACACACACACACACACACACAGTTACAGTAAATACAGTTATAATACAACACTGGATCATTGTTAGAGATTCTAAAACAATAGCACTTTGTTCATCTCCACTGAGTCTCACATGTCAGAGTAATACTGTCCTGCGTTTCCCCCCATCACCTGTCCCCGCCCACTCCAGTCTGACTGACACTCAACATGTTACACGGGGTTACATGGTTAATAAAGCTCTGTACAATGTGAAGCCGTTTCAAAGTAAATGCTCTTTAAATCTTCTGCGGAAAAACAGCAACGAAACTATTGACCCTTTAATAGTTTCCTCCAACATTTGGTTCGTCACTTTTTGAGTCACTATATGATACTTGATGCAAGCTTGGAACTGAAATATACAGCTTTGGGGCATCTCACTTGGTTTTAGTTACTTTTACCATCAAACTGCATCTTAACCATTTGGTAAGAGCCTATAATAAAAAATAATATAGGGGTTAAAAAAGAAAAAACAATACAAACATGCAAGGCCACGCATTTCAGACCGACGCCTGCAGTGACGCCCTACTCCAGTTATCTCCAACCTTTTTAGTGCCACAGACCGGTTTATCATCAGACATAAACCGGTCTGTGGCACCCGCTACCGTGGGTCTGCACTGTAGATTCTGAAGGCAGAGAGGCAGATTTTGAACTCTGGCAATACATGAAGATGAATAATGATTGGATAAAACCTCAATCATAAACGTCAGCCCTCCAAATGTCGACCAGAAGCTGCGCAACCAACGTAGGAAAACTATGAAATGAAGAGTATAGACTATGCGGACTCATTTAATACACCTTTGTGGTAAAATAAATATATCTGTATATATATATATGCGTATTACTGATTATATTGAGGCCAGCAGAGAAGGCTTTGTTGGCCTTGAGGGTCCAACACACACACACACACACACACACACACACACACACACACACACACACACACACACACACACACACACACACACACACACACACACACAAGTGCGTACACACAGACACACACACACACACACACACACAAGTGCGTACACACAGACACACACACACACACACGCGCGTACACACAGACATAAGTTGTCTTCAGTCAGAGTGCACACACAGCGCTCCCGCCTTGTGTCGTTCCCAGTAGTGGCAGTCGTCGCTGAAGCTCCAGGCAGCGGCGCACTCTTTGTGTCGGCTGACGGCGTGAACCACGAGGCGCGAGCTGTGGTCACTCTGCTCGCTCTGGTCACTCTGCTCACTCTGGTCACTCTGGTTGTTATGGTCACTCCCGCTCAGCACGCTCTGATTGGCCCTGAGCAACTCAAACAGGGCACTCTGGTCTCTTTGGTCGTTTTGCTCGCTCTGGTCGTTCTGCTCGCTCTTGTCATTCTCACTCAGCTCGCTCTGGTCACTCAGCTCGCTGTGGTCTCCCATGAGCCTCTGCACCAGTGCGCTGGGCTTGCCTCTGCGGCCCACAGACTCGGCCAGCTGGCAGATGCGTTCCTTGGGCAGGGGTCTGGGATGGCAGCTGTAGGAGACCACCAGCAGCAGCTGTCGGACAGGGGCCACCTGGAAGCAGCCCTGACCCTGCAGGTGGTGGAAGTGCTCGCCCGCCCTCCAGCTGCGGTACGCGCTGCTGGAGCATTTGACCACGCGCACCGACCAGCTCACCCAGTCGAACTTCTTCTGGAGAGTCTGCAGCAGCTGCTCTGCCACCTGCCACACAGAGAGGGTTCAACTTAACCATGTCACGGAGAACCTGTCGTCGACAACTCATGGGTTGTTTGTGTGTCAGTGGAAACAGTCGAATGTGTCATATCTGTGGAAACGTCACTACTTTTATCAGTATGGTGGGTTGCACTCCACTCACAACCTTAGTCCTTGTTCTACAGCCTGCATCCTCGTTCTGCAGCGAAGCCATGAGTGTGACATCACAGCAGACCCAAGCCTCAGGGTTCACACTGGTGATAGTGTGGACCTGCTTTAAACAGGAGTTACATTTTACTTTAACAGTTTTACACCAGACGCAAAACCCTCAAAACCTGATCAAACCCTAATCTTTCTGTGAGGCAAGTGCACAAACCCGTCGGCCGTCACTGAACTCTTGAACCTGACTCGTTCATCCAACCGCTCTGTCGGCTCTTGTTGACGCAGGTCAGCTGAGAAGCTGAAGATTCACCACTTCAACATCAGCCAACCTCATGAAGGTCAGAGCAGAGAGGCCTTCGGTTCACGCAGGGGTTATCAAAGTGTGGATTTATAGAAAAGTGCAGGATGACAAGAGACACTAAAAGCGCTAAAAAACCTAATTTTGTGAAATCTCTTGTGTCCCTGGCAGCTGAGGATGAGCCGTTTTAGCTAACATTGACGTCTATGCTCTGCAGCGCCATAGGTGCCCCTCATGATGGATTTAACCAGCAACATCCTCCACATAATATCGTACATCCTTTGTCAGAACAAAGAGCAAAGACGTGTCTTAGTCCGCTCCTGCTTCTGAACGGCTTGCTATCTCCTGTTTTTGTCTTTTTTCCTGGAGCTTTGCCACAGACAACTCTAACAGAATGGAAATGATTAATTGGTCCCTCAACGCAATTGATTCTATCTTTTCAACACGTAAGCGTGGGTCTGGAGAGCCCGTGTGTCCGGACGGGACTTCACCAGCGGGTTATACGCTTGACAGCTGGATCAAGTGGCAGCCCCTCTGTCTGTCGACCCTGTCCATTGAAGATTCGGAAGACGTATATATCTTTGGCATTTTGGTGGTGGGAATCCTCCTGTTTGGGTTTGGAGCGATCCTCTTCTACCACAAATTCGGAGGCATGGCAGTTCGCAAGATTCACGACCTGCTGGCCGATAAAATTGATGGGATGTACAAGGAGCTTAGCCGTGTCGTGGTTGAGAGTGCCGTGTCTGGACAAAGAAGGGTGGTTTTGGTGGAACAGTTGATCAAAGACCTCGCAGCTCGTTCACTTGATGGACATAAGACCTTGGAATTGAGATTGAATGACATTGTTTGTCAGGCTTGATCTCTCTGACCCGGCTTGGATTTGCCCCTGTGTACGGAGGTCTGAGGGCACCGGAATTCGGTTTAATTGGAATTAATAGAATATCTGCCTGCTTTTGACTGCGACATTGCAGGCGATGTGTTTTTCTCCTCCTGTGGCTTCTCTCCACTCTTATCTCACATTCCTATCCCCCACCCCCGCCTCCCTCTACCTATCCATCTTGCTCCCTCCCTCCCCTCCATTCCTTATTGTTTTCCTACTCACCCCCTCCCTGATCCCGCCCCCCTCTGACAGCTACATTGGGCCGGCCGAAGAGGTGCTCTTCCCGAGAAAAAAATCCGTGGTTTATAAAAAGCACAATGTGTCTATCCAATTGTCTGTGAACTGTATGTTATTGCTCTCTGCTGTTTCTTGCTGCACACAGCGCCGCAAATGGCGAAGTGGCACGCTCTCTGCCAAAACAATTTCCAAGTGATAACTTTGTTACTCACGTGGCAATAAAAATGATTCTGATTCTGATTCTGATTCTGATTCTGAGAACTATCAAAACGATATATTAAAACTTTCACCAACCCTAGTCTTCACATTTATGGAAATGTATTAACATTCATAGACATTGGTCTTCTGCCAAGTGTTTTTATTATCATTGCATTTCCTGTGCTTGACCTGTTTGATTCTCTGATCTGTATTAGCTTATCGACAGCTTTGTATGTCCTCCGAGATAACGACTGTTGTGTTGTTTAAGTCCATAGGATAAAAAATGTAATTGAATTGAGCTTGATTCTGACCTGCTGCAGCTCCTCTTCCTCGCTCTGCTGCAGGAAGCGCTCGGCGTCGTGCTGCGCCTGCTGCGGGAAGGCGGACACACACTCCTGGATGGTCTCCTTCATGCGCGCCTCCAGCTGCTCCATGCGCTCACTCCACTCCTGCACCAGGGCCTCCTCCTCCTCCAGGCCCCGCGTCAGAGCGCAGTGCCCCAGCAGCGCGATGAGGCCCAGGCAGAAGAGCTCCTTCACTCGCACACAGAAGTCCTCCAGGAGCCGCCGGTTGTGGCTCAGGTACCTGCACGGACCCATCACATTCCCCTCAGCTCAGAACAATATAATAATAATGATACAAATAAATAAACTACTACTTTAGCCACAGCTGCCCTGAGGCACACTGACAGAAGCGAGGCAACCAATCTGTACCCTTGGCACTGGATGTCATAATGCAGTGCACCTAGGACCAGAGACCAGAAAAAGAACAGATGGAGACCAGAGAGAGACCAGAGAGAAAGACCACAGAGAGACCAGAGTGTGACCAGAAAGAGGCCGGAGACTGAGAGATAGAAGAGAGTGACTAGAAATGGACTAGAGAGAGACTAGATAAAGACCATTTAGAGACTGGAAAGAGACCAGAGAGAGAGACCAGAGAGAATGGCATGTTCATGGTTTCTCGTACACTTGGACCAATATAGACACTTTAAAAAATATTTTTCACAAGGACAAATTTATAAAGGAAAGAGCAGCACATTCAATTGCCCAAACTCTGATGATAAGAGCTTCACTCACACAAACTCGTTCCCACAACTTGTGACGCTGTCATTATGCAAATATTGTCCTTTGTGTGACTTTTGTACAGTTTAAGAACCTTCTTCATCTGAGCTAAGCATTAGTATTATCATTAGCATTAGCAGTAGCAGTAGCATTAGCAGTAGCAATAGCTAATTGTAATAAGCAAAAGTTGAGTCTGTGATGTGGAGCAGTGTTGGAACGTGGAGAAAGGAGAAGATTGTCCTTTACCATTTCCTGCAGCAACACAACATAATGCAGAAAGACACAGTTACCATGGCAACTCACCTTATCGGCTTCAGGATGATGCATTTTCACAAGCGTTGCCATGGCAATTAACCCTGTGTGACCCTCCACCTTTTCTATAAACAACTTATAACAAGCACACGGTTCCCAGGGTCCTATGTTTCTGTTCTTCTACTGGAGATTTACTGTTACATGAAATTAAATCTTGAACTTGTTTTTGTTGTCTATTACTTCCATAGTTTTGATTATTACTAAATATGACGTATTGTGTGAAACACCAGGTGCCACAGTGGGGCAGCTGCGGCTTGTATCGGTTAGCAAGACACTTCACTTTAGAATGAGTCTGGTGTGTGTGAGTGTTTGGTGGTGGCCTCACTTCTGTCAGTGTGCCCCAGGGCAACTGTGGCTACAACAGTACTCTATCACCACTGTATAGAGAGAAAGAATAATGACATGTGAAGCATCTATATAAAACGGATTCATTGTTAGTAAATACATAGAATATCTGAGTGTGAGGTCTGACCTGTCCACCAGCTCCAGCACCGGCTCGCAGAAGCCGCTGGTCCCCATCATGGCGTCGTGGAGTGTGTGCAGGTTCTTGTCGCCGCCGCTCCTGGAGAAATGCTCCAGGAACAGGCGCGTCTTCACCTCTCGGAACTGCGGTTTGGCCTCCAGGATCTCCACGTACTTCCGGAACTGCGAGCGGATGTTCTCCTCCACCTCAAAGTAGTGGGAGTCGAGCCGCGCCCGCTGCAGCTCGGCGTCGATGTCGTGCAGCTGCGTGGAGAGCGCGTCCAGGTGGCGTCGCACGGTCAGGAACTGCTCCTTCACGTAAAACACCTGAACCAGGAAGTACAGGTACGTAACACTAGGACTCCCAAAATTATGAAATTAGTACTCCCATGGCCGTCATTTTGACTGCTCCCATTCAAACCAATGGAATTCAGAGAAAATCCCCCAAAAAATGTCAACCAGTTTTTTATTTCTCAACTCACTTTTGCTAAAACCGTTGAACATGACTTAAAATACAGAAAGGCTACACCAAATACTAACTGCTGGCAATGACTATGGTAACTAACTGCTCACCTTTTAAAACACCTCTGCTTCTGTCACTATTGTTAGTAACTTTTAGAATTGTGTATCTATTTAATTGTATGGATGTGAGCAATAAATTATCCATCTATCTATTAGTGCACGTACCTCCTTGCTGTGCACGTTGTCCAGAGCGAGGCGCAGAAGGGGGGCGGAGACTTCGCAGAGGGGGAGGAGCTTGCCCACTGCGCTCGCCACGACCTCCGCGCCGCGCTCCAGCAGGTCCATCACCGCCTCGATCGACTCCTTCTTCTGGGCCACGAGCCGCTCCAGAGACTCCGTCATGGTCAGAATCAACGGACTTTGAAGAAGAAATATTACACAGGATTTATGTCCATTTAAATTGATAAAGAGACTGTTTACTTTGTCATTTCTTATTGAGAATGTGGAATAATATCTATGGATAAAAAATACAGTGTGAAGGGTAAAAAATGCGTTCCACCTGTAACTCCCTACACTACCACCAGAGGGAGGAGGAGAGTATATTTTGCAAACCCAGACATGGTAAATTCACACATTATGAGACCAGGGAGAGAGAGACCAGAAAAAAACCAGAGAGAGACACCAGACAGAGAGACCAGAGAGAGAGACCAGAGAGAGAGACCAGAAAGAGACCAGAGAGAGAGACCAGAGAGAGAGACCAGAAAGAGACCAGAGAGAGAGACCAGAGAGAGAGACCAGAGAGAGAGACCAGAGAGAGAGACCAGAAAGAGACCAGAGAGGGAGACCAGAGAGAGAGACCAGAAAGAGACCAGAGAGAGAGACCAGAGAGAGAGACCAGAAAGAGACCAGAGAGAGAGACCAGAGAGAGAGACCAGAGAGAGAGACCAGAAAAACACCAGAGAGAGACACCAGAAAGAGGGAGAGACCTGGGAAGGAGACCAGAGATGCCAGAGGACAATCCGATAGAGACCAGAGAGAGACCAGAGAGTAACTGCAGCGAGACCTCGGTTTAAAACAGAATACTAAAATGAAACATACACGGTGACAGAATACTTCATCACAATGATCAAAATGAGGGCGTGGCCTGTATGCAGCCAAATCCATACATGTTGACAGGGTTGTGTTGGTGTGTGCTCTCCCCCCTCCCCTCTGTGTCCCTGGAGCTGGGCGGAGTGTCTGCAAACCTGGTCCTGCCCCTGGTTCAGGCCCATCATCCTCATCAGCCTCCCCTCTACAGTTTAACGCCTGGTTCACCCTTCACCATGTGCCAGATTGTCAGTAAAACGTTCACGGTATTACTTGGCTTATTCCAGAAACATTAGATTTACTCGTTAATTGTTTTTGACTTAGTTTTTTTGGTCCAGACTCAGCCGTCCTCCTGTTTTTTTTGCCCTGCCTCAGCCTCCAGAGTGCAGGGCTGGACTGGGCAGGGCTGGAGGCTGAGACATTGCACATTTTGTAATAAACCTCTTATATCCGGCCATGGCTTATCCCCATGCTCTTAAATGCATCTGCTGACCATGTCTCAGTCTGATCCGCTTTCCGTAGTCTCATGCAGCTTAAACGTATCAGAAATGATTCCATCCAGTTACGTCAAACGGAATGGTTTTTCACTCCTCAAATCAGCATGAATTTACTTAAGTCTGGTTCTATATAATTAAGTAAGACTGGAGGAGAGAGATTTGGTTTCACTGGTGCTTTGGAAACCTGCTCCAGTGTGTGCGCCCCTGGTCCCTGTTCAGAGTCTGGGGCAAAAAGAAAAACTCTGCAATTTGCCTTTCAAACCCCTCCCTTATGTTACATGGGAGGGGCTTGGAGTGGAGCCGCTACTCCTCCACCTGAGACATGTAAGAGAGTTTATTCAGGTCTTTGATAATGCATTTTAAAGCAGTCCATGCCTTTACCTCAGAGCTCTCATTGTTCTAGCGGTAAATATAAAACTGACTTTGTTCGAGCAGAGAAAAGAAGAGACTGACATGAAAAGAGAAAAGTTGAAATAGAACTGGACGGTCGTGTTTTGTGGAGAGTCTGTGGTGAAGACAAAAGTCACTGTGAAAATATAGACCTACTTTAGTCGTGCATTTAGTCCTGCGTTTAGTCCTGTGTTCGTTCTGGTTAGACCTGCTTTAGTACTGCTTTAGTTCTTATTTAGACCTGGATTTTCTGCTATAGTCTCTGTTTTCAATCTGGTTTAGTCCTCCTTTAGATCTGCTTTAGTCCTGATTTAGCCCTGCTTTAGTCCTGATTTAGTCCTGGTCTAGTCTTGCTTTAGACCTCATTCAGCCCTGCTTTAGTCCTACTTAAGACCTGCCTTAGTCATGATTCAGTCCTGGTTTAGTCTGGCTTTAGTCCTGCTTTAGATCTTTAGTACAGGTTTAGTCCGAATTTTGTGAAGCTTTAGACCTGGTTTATCCCTGGTTTAGCCTGGCTTTAGTCCTGGTGTATGAGTATTGGCTTAGACCTGTTTCAGCCGTGGTTTGGTCCTGGTTTAGACCTGGTTTAGACCTGGTTTAGACCTGGTTTAGACCTGGTTCAGGCTCTGCGTAAAAGTCGTATAATGACGTTACCTTTTTCGCTCAGGGGAAAAATCCGCAGTGCTTTACGCGCGGCTGACGCACTGTGGTCCTCTTTGACGCGCGGCAGGTTCGGTAGTGCGCGTTCAGGGTCTTGTCTGCACGGGACACGGGACACTCACGGGACTCAGTTGGGACTGGGAAAAAACGGAGAACCGGGGCGCGGACCCGGTACGCGTCAGAGGAGCGGCACTGGACAGATGCGTCACTGCGCGCAAATACGCAGAGCCGCGCGGCAGATGAGAGCGCGCGCACGTCAAGGGAGAGGTTATCGTGTGCGCGAGACATGGACTGGACTGCGGCTGAGGCAGGTCTGGATCAGGACTGAACCAGGACTATTGCTGAAGCATTACTTTTTAAGTCCTGGTTTTCAGGACTGAACCAGTTCTCAATCAGGACTAAACCAGCACTAAACCAAAACCTGACCAGGACTAAATCAGATCTAAACCAAGACTAAACGAGGATTTAACTAGGACTTTAGCAGGTCTGAAACCAGGTCAGGAGCATACGCGTACACGCACAGCAGAGCGCGCCCCCGGACCCACGCACGGACGCATTGCACACCAGACCCCAGCGGCTCCGGAGGATTCCGCCTTCAGTCATTCACGAGGTAAGAAGCTTCATGTTCCGTCTGTTTAGTCCTGGTTTACTCATCCTTTAGTCCTGATTTAGACCTGGTTTGGTCTTGGGTTAGACCTTAATAACACCTGGTTTAGACCTGATTTAGACCTGGTTTAGATTTGAAATAGACCTGATTTAGAACTGGTTTAGATTTGATTTAGACCTGATTTAGGTCTGATTTAGATTTGATTTAGACCTGATTTAGAACTGGTTTAGATTTGATTTAGACCTGATTTAGGTCTGATTTAGACCTGATTTAAACCTGGTTTAGTCCTGATCTAGTCGGAGATGCTGGGGCCTGTATTTGGGGCTGAGACTGCGCAGTCCAAATGGTTTCTCTGTTTTTGATGCAACTGAGAGAATTGGAAACATTGTGACTGATTTGTGATGTTGTGATTAAATATCTGCAGCTTTATTTAAGACCAGACCTTTGACAACGAGCCCCCAACAAGGAATATTGTCATGAAATAATAATGTTTTCTTGCGCACGTCCATTTTGTTAGACCGCAGAGCTGAAAGCTGGGGTGTGTAACTTTCAAACCACATCAATAGAACTCTGTAATCAATTCCATGTCACTAAAACAGTTTTCACATTTTTAGTTAAAGCCTCTGTCACATCTTTAACTCTGCTTTTTCAGGCAGAAAAGTGAATATGAGAGGACCACCCGCACTCAGCCAATCAGCTCTCACGGGGCTCTTTCTTATACAAAAGATAAAATGTTGACATGGTCTGGTGTGTTCACAACATTTTACTGGTTTTAGATCAGAGTGGAGCCTCACAATCAGCGACAGAACTGATGCAGGGATCCGATAAATACAATCAAAACTGGTCCTTCTCCTTTTTCCAGATTCCTGAGGGTTTCTGCTGTTTGTGTCTCAGTAAAAGTGTTGATCAAAAATCAAGTCAAATCCTTCCAAACTCTTCACCAGTTTAAAGGTAATACTCACAGATGTTTCTTCAAGTTTCTTCCCAAAATATACGGAAAACCAAGACATTTGTCAAAAATACAACCCTTTTTCTCCTCCCACTGACCTCTCAGGGCTTTTGTACCAACTTTAATGTTATGACCTGCTTTAGTCCTGCTTTAGTCCTGCTTTGGTCCTGCTTTAGTCCTGCTTTGGTCCTGCTTTAGTCCTGCTTTATTCCTGCTTTAGTCCTGCTTTGGTCCTGCTTTAGTCCTGCTTTAGTCCTGATTTAGTTCTGCTTTGGTCCTGCTTTAGTCCTGCTTTAGTCCTGATTTAGTTCTGCTTTAGTCCTGATTTAGTTCTGCTTTAGTCCTGATTTAGTTCTTTAGTTCTGCTTTAGTCCTGATTTAGTTCTGCTTTGGTCCTGCTTTAGTCCTGCTTTAGTCCTGATTTAGTTCTGCTTTAATCCTGATTTAGTTCTGCTTTAGTCCTGATTTAGTTCTGCTTTAGTCCTGCGTTAGTCCTGCTTTAGTCCTGATTTAGTTCTGCTTTAGTCCTGATTTAGTTCTGCTTTAGTCCTGATTTAGTTCTGCTTTAGTCCTGCTTTAGTCCTGCTTTAGTCCTGCTTTAGCCCTGCTTTGGTCCTGCTTTAGTCCTGCTTTGGTCCTGCTTTGGTCCTGCTTTAGTCCTGCTTTAGTCCTGCTTTGGTCCTGCTCTAAATCTGATTTTGTCTTGGTATAGATCTGGTTCAAACCTGGTTAAGTCCCTGTTTAGACCTAGTTTAGTTCTGGTTGAGACCTGTTCTAGACTTGGGTTTAGACCTGGTTTAGGCCTGGTTTAGACCTGGTCTAGTTTATTTTCACAAAACATGAAGCCGCTTTGGACTTCACACCTACAATAAGAGAGAAAGTGTAATCAGAGGCCAAAACTACAGAACCTCAGCTTCACACAGACTCCATGAAGTTGTTGATATCTCTGTATTCTGCATTAGTCCCATATTCACACTTAATTTATGTAAAAATGGGGCGGGGCTTCAGGCTGTTTTAGTACCATCACATCAAACGTATCGTGCGTTTCAAATGGATTATAAAGACATTAAAACTGTCCGAACACAATATCACTCTTCAATAAAGCTCAAACTACAGTATTTATATTTATATTTAGTTTAAAGTTGAATGCTACAAAATGGAAATGAACGTTCTCCCAGTACAGAGGAGGGGATACGTGGTCTGTGGCGGCCTCTAGTGGCGACACGATGTAACAGCAGACAGATTTATGAACAACAACAAAATGCCAGGGACTGTCGTGGGTAATTGCACGTATGAGAGAAACAGTTATTGGATCATTTAATGGATTCTACAGGTTTTACTGCTTTGAGATTAGAAAAGGAGTAAATGTTTTCTTTGTACTGATGCAGTTCTGTGAGATACAACCTAAATGGAGGTTTGAATACACAAAGTGGAGCTGTTGTTTACTTTATTAATCCTTTTTGATTTTATGGCGGCTACACTTTGATGCAGTTAAGAACACAGATCTGTAATTGTTGATAAACTGGTCTAAATAACAGCAACATTTCTGCACTTTTGGAAAACCGCAAATTGTTGAACAGAGAGTACGTTTGCAGACAATACTAAAAATATTTCAAGACATTTTCCAAAGTGACGAGGAAAATATAATGTCTGGGCTTTCTTTAGAATCGTTTTTTCCCTTACGTGAAACATGTGAGAGCTGATTCAGATTTGAGTTCAAAATCTAACTCATAACTCACTTCATAACTCATTATTGCCCCCAGCCCTTTTGGGACTTTCACTTTTTCTGCACTGCTAAATGTCTATGCTGTGTACTTATTGTACACAGATGTTTTCTGAAGATTGTTTTTATGCATGCCTTTACCTTTTTACTCTTGAAACTTGTTTAAGAGTTAGGTCGCCAGAGTTGGTGACTTCCTGTTTCTTACAATGGCAAAACAAATAATTCTGATTCTGAAAAGGAAAGGAAAGTCCACTTGTTTGTACCGTAGAGTTCCCCAACCTTTTTGAGCCGTGGAACCTTATTCCTTGTAAAAGAAACACAAAGAGTATGACACAGGAGTAACTAAAACTGATTCAAAAATAAAACTCCGACGCTTTTATGATCAATTTAGTAATTATCAATCAAGTGTTTTATATATATAGTCAAAGCCATCAACTTTCCTCTACGGAAACACATGCATGTGACCAGTGTGGGAAACTCAGCTGTGACTAAAACTAAGATTAAGATTTGTTTTATTTGTCCAACAGTTGGGGAAATGTCAGTGTTGCATCACCAGTGACAGAACAGTAGGAATGAGGAGCACACGGCACAAGAGAAATGAACAATAAGTCTATACTAAATAAAATAAAAGCATCATTTAGCATAATAAAAACAAATCTAAAATCTCCAACTTAATGAAGCAATAATTAAGACCTCTGACTGCGATCTAATAATAAGTATGTGTAAAAAATTAAGAATAATAAAGAAGCAAGTAGAAAATAGTGTGTATCTAGTGCAAGGAGGATATAGTTGTATGTGTTTGTATGACTAAAGCTATAACACCGGAAAACAACACAAAAGACGTCAAATCCGTTATGTTTATCACCTTTATTATCTTTTTTAAATTCATAATAGACCTTTATAATGCTCTATAATGCATATTTACACCGACCAGGCAGAAGAATCACAAGCAGCGGAGATAATGATTCAAAACAGATTCAAAGTGCAGCGATCCGTGAACTCAACACAAACATATTTTACACATGAAAACGTAAAAATAAAAATATATAAACAAAATTGCCAAATATAAAGACTCAGGCACAGTCGGTGGAGAGATGAGAGACGGGGAGTGAGGCACGTAACAGGAGCTGCTTTAGAACGGGCGATAAAGCTGAGGTACCTGACTTTACACGACTTTTTGGGCCCAGAATAAGCTGCGACGAACGGTACATGCGTGTGAAAACTTGTGACGGAAGAAAACGGTTTTAGAGCCAGGAACTAGTGACGTGGATTTTATTCCATAGTTCCACTGTTTGAAAGTTACGTACCCCAGCTTTAACATGTTTTAAATGGCTTGCATTGCAGTGGTAGTTTTCCCTGACACCAGTAGATGGCGATGAGGACACAGTAAAATGCGGCTGTTTATGGAGTTTTTTTGGGGGGGGGGGTTTCAGATTAAATCACTGATGTGTGGATGTAGAAGTGTTGGAGAGAAATCATTTACAAATATTCTCTTTGGCAATTTAATCGCGGGGCACGGACTTTATCGGACCGCTTCCTCCATCCGCTTTGCTCTCATTTCATTTATCCGAAGACTTTTGACTCGTCTCTCGGATGATCGGAGACTTCTGAAGCCACCATCTTAGTTCGTTCCAAATTTAAGCGTTGAATTCAGCTCCATCCAGTTCGACAGCGTTGATTGGTTACTGAGCTGCGGGGGCGTGGCCAGAGAGCGAGGAGGAAGTGAGCGGTCATGTGATCTTTGAGCCTGCCCTGCCCCCTGGTGGACACAGCAGAGGCCCACAGAGAGCTGAGCGCAGAGGAATGTGTGTATGTGTGTGTGTGTATGATTGTGTGTGTGTGTGTTGTGTGTGTGTAACTGTGTGTTGTGGCTGCATGTGCATATGTGTGTTGTATGTATGTATGTGTGTATGTGTGTTGTGTGCGTGTTTGTTTGTCTGTGTGTGTCTTGTATATGTAAGTACGTGTGCATGTGTGTAGGTGTGTGTGTAACTGTGTGTTATGTCTGCATGTGCATATGTGTGCTGTGTGTATGCGTGTGTGTGTGTGTTTGTGTGTGTCTTGCATATGCATGTGTGCGCGCAACTATGACTGCGCGTGTTGTGTGCGTGTGTAGTTTGTATGTATGCAAATGTGTATGTGTTGATTGTGCACCTGTGTATGTTTGCGTGTGTGAGTGTGTGTGTGTGTGTTTAGTCGCACTGCCGTAGCGCCTCCTGCATCTTCTCCTGCACATGCTCCATGCGCTCGGCCCACTCCTCGCTCAGTCCCTCCTCGTCGTCCCCGATGACGGCGGCGTATCCCATCAGCGCGATGAGGCCGATGCAGAACAGGTACGTGAGGCGCGTGCAGAGCCGCTCCATCACACGCCGGTCGCCATGGCAATGCTTCAGGTACACGTCCAGCACCGGGCGACTGAACAGCTTGGGTTTGCCCATCACGCCGTCGTACAGGGTGTGCAGGTTCTGGTCGCCGAGGTCGTTAGCATAGCTCTCCTGTGGGAAGGAGGGCAGACCGTCAGAAAGAGGGAGGAAAGAGTGGCGTGTTGTTTGAACCCGTGTTGGTGTTTTACCAACATGGAGAGGGGGGGGGGGGGGGGTGAAAGAAAAGGGTCAAAACAAACTTCTCACTTTCAGATGAAGTATTGTAACAGTGCAATGCATCCAGGACCCGAGACCAGAAAGACACCAGAAAGACACCAGAAAGAGACCATAAACCCAGAAAGAGAGACTAAAGACAGATCACAGAGACACCAGGGAGAGACCAGCTTGTCTTAGCAACCGTCTAATAAGTGACACGTCTGCCCCTGTCAGGGCACAAAGCTAACGCCACTGAACAAATGCCCGTATACACAAATTGGCTCCAGCTAGCTTTAAATCTGAGGTGACATCACCTCAGGCAAACACTGAGGTGATGTCACACTCTGTCAGTCCTCACCTCAAAGTCGTCCTTCTTGCGCTCTCTCAAGTCAGGCCGGGCCTCCACCATCTCCATGAACTTCCTGAACTGGTTCCTGAGGTTTTCCTCCACGCGGCCGTACTGTCCGTCCAGCGTGTCCCTCTGCACCTGCAGCAGCGTGTCGCGGCTCTGGTGCGAGATGCGTTCGAGCGCGCGGTTCACGGAGCCGAACTCTCGCTTGAGCGTACGGATGTCCTCGTCGTCCACGTGGTGCAGCACCACGCGCAACAGCGAGCCCGCCACGCCGAAGATGGGGTTGACCACGGCAGCGGCGGATGAGATGGTGGCCACGCACTGCAGCACTTTGACCAGGCCCTGCTTCAGCTTCGCCTGCTCCTCCACCACCTCCTCGCTCGGCACCTCCTCGTGGCTCATCATGGCTCCTGTAGGGGGCGCTGTGGCTCTGAGGGCGCAAGGCAAACAGAGTTGAAATAATGTTGATAATATGCATTGGTTTTTGGACACTCAAAGACGCTTCACATTTTGTTATTCTTTACACTATACATAGTGCTGATAAACTATTACCGTAGCCAGAGCTGCCCCGGGACAAACAGACAGAAGTGAGGCAACCAGTCTCCCACCACCACCAACCATTCACACACACACCAGACTCATTCTAATGTGGCATTCAGACCGCCAACGCTGGAAAGCAGCTTCCACGTGCACTAAACGCATATTCTCTCAAATTCAGACGCTGGCGGAAGAAGCGGAAGTGCTTTGATGTCAACAGAGTTAAGCTAGCTGCTTCTTGTCTAAAGTTCTTCTCCAATAATGCAGAGTCCAGAGGCCTTCCAGAGACTTTATATAACAGCAGTTATTTTGGCTGTTTACGAGTATCTTCAGTCTGCTCGCTCAGGCCGCTATTGACCCCGTGACCACTTTGCAGCTCTTGCTGCGCCTGCGACCGGCTGAAAAAGTTTGTAAAATGTTTATCTGCGTATGTGGAGTTTCCGCTTCTCTGACGATGTCCATGTGTCTCTACTACGCAGTCCGTGCGTGCGTGCCGCAACGCAGATGCAATTCCTCGTTTGAACAGACGTCACCATGGACTTTCCATTGTAAGTCGCGGCAGCACATGATCCAGTCTGAACGCCCCATAATTAGTTTAGTTTAGTCTTTATTTGAAGGGACCGTGACAGAGACATTAAGCTCAAAGACAGATATGGGGGAATGTGGGTGAATTGTCTTGCCTAAGGGCACAACCACTTTACAGAGGCCCCACGGTGTCACTTGGTGTTCCAAGTGGTCTCCCATCGCAGTATTAACCAGGCACTGCCCCGCTTAGCCAATCTTCACATGGCAAACTGCTGCGAGGTTTATAACTATCACAGTTGTTGAAGAGTTTTATGTCCCTCATCAGTCACACACCTGCAGTTGTGTTTAGCTCCAACCCATGTCCCATTAGTGGTTTGGGAATCGTTTCTGTTCCGTATTGTGATATTGTGCCCATGCAAATTACATCGATACAGTAGAGAAAAGTATTGCCATATTTAATTGAATAATGCTCTGTTTAACTTTAGTGTTTTCCCTGAGTTTACCCTGGTATAATCCATCTGAGGTCTCTGTGACTCTTTGATGTCTGCATGTTGTGACTCTAGTCTGTTGTATGTGAATAATGAAAGTCGTCTGTTAGAAAATAATGATGTCTTTCTGTAATAAGGTCCTGAGTCCTGAATGTTCAAGGATCACGTTTTTGCATTACCCTCCTCAGTCTTCGCTTCAGTTCATGTGTCAACCACAATAAATTTCACAGAGTTGAGCAGAATTGACCTCAATGTCCAATCGCAATAACTTAAGAATCGCAATATGTTAGGAATCGCAGTAATATTGAATTGTGGCCCAAATATTGCAAAAATATCGAATCGTCACATTTTCGCCAATTCCTGTCTGTATTATGAGTGGACTGACTGAGTGCTTATACTTTAGCTGAATGCGGAACAGTCCAATAGAGCTCAAACAGGTTATTTGAGAGTCAGCGTGGAGCCAAATGTATGCAAATGTTGTTGTTAGCAACGGCCGAAGAACCCACAGCAAATCAGGAGCGACGAATTCAGCAACAGAAAGCTCCTGATTTGTCAAATCGTAGAGAAAGGAGACAGACCAGAGACAGACCAGAGACAGACCAGAGACAGACCAGGGACAGACCAGGGACAGACCAGAGACAGACCAGAGACAGACCAGAGACAGACCAGAGACAGACCAGAGACAGACCAGAGACAGACCAGAGACAGACCAGGGACAGACCAGGGACAGACCAGGGACAGACCAGGGACAGACCAGGGACAGACCAGGGACAGACCAGAGACAGACCAGAGACAGACCAGAGAGAGACCAGAGACAGACCAGGGACAGACCAGGGACAGACCAGAGACAGACCAGAGACAGACCAGGGACAGACCAGAGACAGACCAGGGACAGACCAGGGACAGACCAGGGACAGACCAGAGACAGACCAGAGACAGACCAGAGAGAGACCAGAGAGAGACCAGAGACAGACCAGAGAGAGACCAGAGACAGACCAGGGACAGACCAGAGACAGACCAGAGACAGACCAGAGACAGACCAGAGACAGACCAGAGACAGACCAGAGACAGACCAGAGACAGACCAGGGACAGACCAGGGACAGACCAGGGACAGACCAGAGACAGACCAGAGACAGACCAGGGACAGACCAGACAGACCAGAGACAGACCAGGGACAGACCAGACCAGAGACAGACCAGAGACAGACCAGACAGACCAGAGACAGACCAGAGACAGACCAGAGACAGACCAGAGACAGACCAGAGACAGACCAGAGACAGACCAGAGACAGACCAGGGACAGACCAGAGACAGACCAGAGACAGACCAGGGACAGACCAGAGACAGACCAGGGACAGACCAGACCAGAGACAGACCAGAGACAGACCAGAGACAGACCAGGGACAGACCAGGGACAGACCAGGGACAGACCAGAGACAGACCAGAGACAGACCAGGGACAGACCAGAGACAGACCAGGGACAGACCAGATAGACAGACCGGAGAGACAGACCAGAGACAGACCAGAGACAGACCAGAGACAGACCAGAGACAGACCAGAGACAGACCAGAGACAGACCAGAGACAGACCAGAGACAGACCAGAGACAGACCAGAGACAGACCAGAGAGAGACCAGGGACAGACCAGAACTTTCTCACAAATACAACATCATATAACGGCTACTAAAACATGACAGTTATCTTTTAAGTCAGAAGAAACCTTTTGTAGCTCTCTGGTCTCTATCACTTCTCTCTGGTCTCTCTCACTGGTAATAGTCTCTCTCCAGTGTCTCTCTCTGTTCTTCCTCTGATTTCTCTGTCTGCTCTCTCACTTAATGTATAAAGTGCGCGATGAGGCCTCAAAACATGTAGCTGCTACTTCACTACATTTGTATTTTTTAATTTCCCCATTACTCAATGGTTCCTCTCGTGGTCACTACACGCTGCCTCATTCTCAACACAGTTTCACACAGAGCTCATGAGTCAGATCTGTGGAGGTGTCATCTAAACCTGTATAATCCTACTACAGATCCCACCTGACCACGTGGCTCCGCCCTCACCTCTTAGCCCCGCCCAGAGTGTAGAGTGTAGTAAATCCGTCTAACCCGAAAGCAAACACCACAGGATCTCTGACCGCGCTGAGGCCGAAACCCCACTACCTCTGATGTAACTTTACCTCAGTATCCTCCCCCATCATAGCTGTCCCACTATCCTGTTTAAAGACCAGAGAGAGACCAGAGAGAGACCAGGCAGAGACCGGAGAGAGGTCAGAGAGAGACCAGAGAGAGACCAGAGAGAGACCAGAGAGAGACCAGACTGAGACCAGAGAGAGGCCAGAAAGAGACCAGAGAGAGACCAGAGAGAGACCAGAGAGAGACCAGAGAGAGACCAGAGAGAGACCAGAGAGAGACCAGAGAGAGACCAGAGAGAGACCAGAGAGAGGCCAGAAAGAGACCAGAAAGAGACCAGAGAGAGACCAGAGAGAGACCAGAGAGAGACCAGAGAGAGACCAGAGAGAGACCAGAGAGACCAGAGAGAGACCAGAGAGAGACCAGAGAACCAGAGAGAGACCAGAGAGAGACCAGAGAGAGACCAGAGAGAGACCAGAGAGACCAGAGAGAGACCAGAGAGAGACACCAAGAGAGACCAGAGAGAAAGACCAGAGAGAGGCCCGAGAGAGACACCCAAGAGAGACCAGAGAGAGACCAGAGAGAGGCCCGAGAGAGACACCCAAGAGAGACCAGAGAGAGACCAGAGAGAGACCCAGAGAGAGACTAGAGAGAGACCAGAGAGAGACCAGAGAGAGACCAGAGATATACCAGAGAGAGACCAGAGAGAGACCAGAGAGAGACCAGAGAGAGACCAGAGAGAGACCAGAGAGAGACCAGAGATATACCAGAGAGAGACCAGAGAGAGACCAGAGAGAGACCAGAGAGAGACCAGAGATAGACCAGAGAGAGACCAGAGAGAGACCAGAGAGAGAGACCAGAGAGAGACCAGAGAGAGACCAGAGAGAGACCAGAGAGAGACCAGAGAGAGACCAGAGAGAGGCCAGAAGAGACCAGAAAGAGACCAGAGAGAGACCAGAGAGAGACCAGAGAGAGACCAGAGAGAGACCAGAGAGACCAGAGAGAGACCAGAGAGAGACCAGAGAGATATACCAGAGAGAGACCAGAGAGAGACCAGAGAGAGACCAGAGATAGACCAGAGAGAGACCAGAGAGAGACCAGAGAGAGACCAGAGAGAAAGACCAGAGAGAGGCCCGAGAGAGACACCCAAGAGAGACCAGAGAGAAAGACCAGAGAGAGGCCCGAGAGAGACACCCAAGAGAGACCAGAGAGAGACCAGAGAGAGACCAGAGAGAGACTAGAGAGAGACCAGAGAGAGACCAGAGAGAGACCAGAGATATACCAGAGAGAGACCAGAGAGAGACCAGAGAGAGACCAGAGAGAGACCAGAGATATACCAGAGAGAGACCAGAGAGAGACCAGAGAGAGACCAGAGAGAGACCAGAGATAGACCAGAGAGAGACCAGAGAGAGACCAGAGAGAGACCAGAGAGAGACCAGAGAGAGACCAGAGAGAGACCAGAGACAGACCAGAGAGAGACCAGAGAGAGACCAGAGACAGACCAGAGAGAGGCCAGAGAGAAAGACCAGAGAGAAAGACCAGAGAGAGACCAGAGAGAAAGACCAGAGAGAGACCAGAGATCTATTGTTGTGAAAAAATCAGACCACACCTTGCTGTCTTCAATTCATTAGAAAACATGTGATCTTGTGCATGTGAAAGAGCCCTGTGAGTCACTATTTAATTCTTTTCCCTGAGAGCTGATTGGCTGAGTGAGGGTGGTCCTCTCTTTGTCACTTTTTCTGTCTGAAAAAGATGATTTAAAGATGTGACAGAGGCCAAACATGCATAAAAACTAGAGATAGAAGCATCTGTTTAACAACTAGGAGAAGCATTGATAATATTACAACGTTTCCTTGTTGTGGTCTGAAAGTTACATACCCCAGCTTTAAATGCTCCAGATAAGTCTTATTTAGTGCTATTTTGAATCTCGTTCTCAGTGGCCGCATCTGAAACCACATAGCCCACCTTCTGTTTCTCTCCTTAGTATTCAAAGTTAACCTTGATACGAGAAACATTGACTATTATTACAAACTTCTATTGTTGCAGTTTGAAAGTTACATACCCCAGCTTTAAAGCTCCACTGTTCTGGGAGTGGAGCATCTTGTCTGCGGTCCACGTGGCAGAGGGAAGAAGACACATGAAATTTAGAAAGTAGCATTCAATGACCAAATTTGGCAATGTAGCATATTAGCTTCTTTGGGTTCTCTTGGGACATACATTAGTTCAGTGTTCCCCAACCTTGTTTGAGCCGTGGCGCACCACCAACTGAATTTGATACAAAATTGAAACTCTACCGACTTTTTATCAAAGCCTATTCATTCTCATCAATGTGTATTATGAAGCAAATCAAACATCTCACTTTTTTTTCGTTTAACATGAAAACGCTTTTGACTAAGCATTAAACCAAAATGTCATACTTATTTTGCCATAACATTTGAGTTTTATGTTGCATATTTGTAGCCGAGGGTGCTACGGTGTTAAGCTAGGGAACTTTCAGACCACAACCATGGAACTTCTATCACTACAAATGTCTTCTTTCGCCCATTTTATTTATGCATGTGTAAGTTTATTTTATTCCTTATGTATATTCTTTATTTATGTATTTGTGTATTAGGGAGAGACCAGAGAGAAAGACCATAGAGACAAGAGAGGCCAGAGAGAAATCAGAGAGAGACCCGAGAGGTCAGAGAGAGAGACCCGAGAGAGGTCAGAGAGAGAGACCAGAGAGAGACCAGAGAGAGACCCGAGAGAGACCAGAGAGAGGCCAGAGAGAGGCCAGAGAGAGGCCAGAGAGAGGCCAGAGAGAGACCAGAGAGAGGCCAGAGAGAGACCTGAGAGAGACCAGAGAGAGACCTGAGACAGACCAGAGAGAGGCCAGAGAGAGACCAGAGAGAGGCCAGAGAGAGACCAGAGAGAGACCTGAGAGAGACCAGAGAGAGACCAGAGAGAGACCAGAGAGAGGCCAGAAAGAGGCCAGAGAGAGATCAGAGAGAGATATGAAAACTTTATTTATCATTTAATTATTATGTGTATTATTTATTTATGTATGCATGTATATGTAATTTATGTATTATTATTGTTTAATATTGTTTCCTCTTTCTCCGCCAGCAGAGGGCGCAGCGTAGCCGGCCGTGTTTCAGCACCAGGAACAGCACTCCTGCGGGCCGCGATCACACCCGCACCACGCGCCTCCTTCTGCTTCCTCTCTCCTCATCTTCTCTCACTCTGAAGGAGCTAAACTTGACCCGCCAGTAAGAAAACGTATTCTAAAAGTCACTTCACTAAAACTGTGGATGTTTGTGTCTCATACTGGCTACGTTTTAAAGATTAAGAGGAGAAAGGAAGGTGGACTGTGTGGTTTCAGACGCAGCCACTGTGAATAGGATCCACAGACTTCAGCACCAGCGCAGAGGGAGAGGAGATGCTCAAAAAGGATTTAAATAGGACTAAATGCCACTGTTGTCTGGGCCATTTAAAGCTGGGGTACGTAACTTTCAGACCACAACAAGGGCACATTGTAATATTATCAATGTTATTATAGTTCCTGGCTCTAAAACAGTTTGCTTCTATCACTGGTTTGGCCTCTGCCACATCTTTAGATCAGATTTTTCAAACAGAAATGTGAATAAGAGATGAACACCCTCACTCAACCAATCTCTCAGCCCAATTATAAAATAGTGACACACAGAGATCATTCTTACGCACAAGATAATATTTTTTTCTCATGAGATGAAGACAGCTGGTCGTGAACAAATTTAATTTTAAAAGACTCTTTCATGCATGTTAACATGCAAGCTTTAATGCACATTATTTCGGCTTCATTCCTTGTAGTTTAGTTTGTTGGTGGGTTTGGTTACTGGTTTAGTCCTTGGTGAGTCCTGGGCTAGTCCTGGGTTAGTCCTGGTTTAGTCCATTAAGTTGTAATTACTGATGATGGATACAGACACACGTGCCTCCTGCAGGTGGCGCTGTTTCGCATATGTCCTGCTGTTTATACAGAGCTGTGCGTAAAGGGCTTTTACCAGAGTGTATTTAAACGGGTCTAACCCGGGCCTCGGAGCAGGACAGTCACTGATCTGACATTAAACTGATATTACACTTTTGTAATTAATAATTACAATTATTACTGTTATTACTGGTGTTTAGACCCGAGGACAGAGAGCAGAGACTGCAGGTTCAAGTCTGTGGCAGCTATACTGGCCTCACTCACGTTAGACACAATCAGTGCCGTAAGACACTCTCATTATCATGTTCACATGTCCACGCGGCTCCCAGGGGCCCGGGGGACAGTGTGGGGCCCCACCTGAGTGACCCCGGAGCTAAGGGCCTGGTGCGTGAGTCTGATGTGGTTTAACAGTGAGAGTGACAGAAGCAGGAAGTGTTCCCTCCAGGCCTATAACTTGCTTTATCTGCCCGCAGGTGCTGGACCCTGGTCCCGGGCCCATGGCTCCTGGTCCCGGGGCCTCTCCCTCCCTCTCCCCACGGGGCCCTCTCTCCTCCAGCCGCATAATGAGCTCTGGATCCGGGGCGCACACTGCCCCCTGTCGCTCCTCCATGTTGCTGTGACGCACAAGGTCCCAGACCCACCCTGCTGTCCCGCGGGCCTCAGAGGCTCTAATCCACCTGGAACCCGGAGCATCGGGGTCCAGTCCTGAGCTGGGGGGCCCTGTGGACCCCGCAGACTCCGCTCGGACAGAACAGGGCTCTGTAAAAGGCCTGGATCTTACCTTTTGTCAGCAGCTGGGTGTATGGCTCTCTCTCCAATGCTCTGCGCTCGACGGCCTCCTTCTTCTTCCCAGCAATCCCTGCAAAACAGGACACGTCCAAGTGAGCTCGATGAAAAGGGGTGAAGCAGTCCGACTCAGGTGGCTCTGGGGGCCCAAAAAGGGCCCCCAAAGCCAGGAAAGGCCCCTACAGCCAAAACAGACATACTGAATTTAAATGGCGCTTCAAACGCACTGTTTATGTATAAACACGAGTCTAACAGGTCAGAATTAAGCGCACACGTCCCCTCTCCCCGGGACATGTGCCCGTCCGCCCCGTAGTCCCGAGCCCACGAGCTCACAGCCAATAGAAGAGCAGTGCGCAGTAAAGCGCGCCTGTGCGCATCGCGGCGCGACGCGACGCACCGCTCCTGCCGCGCGAAGACTGGGCTAGTCTAGAGCTAAAACAGGACCGAGGACAGAGAAGAGAGGGAGGACCGAGGGTCCGGGACAGGACCCGGGGACCACTGGAGCCGCCTTGCGCTTAAGGATGCTTCGGTACTGCGGCTGTGCAGGGCGATGTGGAATAAATATGCACCTGTTCAGAATTTAAAGGTTTGATCTCAGACTCAGTCAGAGGACCCGAGGACCCGAGGACCAGAGGACCCGAGGACCAGAGGACCCGAGGACCAGAGGACCCGAGGACCCGAGGACATGTCTCCTCAGATCCGACTCAGTACAGACCTGGTCTCAGCGCGTGCAGAGCGGAGGATCCTCTCTTCAGACGCGCGGCTCTGTGCACGTTTGCGTGCGTGTGCACAGCGCACACAGCTCTTGTCCCGGGACACACACATGAGGGATACGGCAGTTGGTCCTGGAGCCGCAGGGTCAGAAAGCGTGCTGCTGTGGTCCTCTCTGGAGCCTGAGGCAGACTGGGACTGGGACTGGATCTCGCGCTGTTACCTCTCTGGAGTAGACTGGCACAGACTGGGACTGGGACAGAGCGCGTGCTGAAGGCAGTTTTATGTTCGTTGTGTTTGTGTCAGATGCAAATGACGCTGACGCACGTCTTTCAACACCACACACTGGTTTCACACTGACCACACAGAGATCAGGATCAACACAAGAGGATCATGGGACTCAGATCTAGACTTGCCCTGGGTCCAGACCTACGTCCAGACCTGAGTCCAGACCTGAGCGCGTGCGGGGTCTTCAGGCTCCAGGGCGCTGTCCCTGCGGCAGGTGCACGCCCCTCCCCCACATGCGGGCAGCAGCTGCTCACAACAGCCGCGTGTGTGTGTGTGCGTGAGCGTGTGTGTGTGTGTGTGTTGTACAGCCGTGAGCTGAATATAAAACTCTGAGCACAAACATCACTTTGTCTAAAGCCTCAGACTGAACACAACTGTCTCTGTGAGATGGTGAACACATGTGCATCCAAATGTTCTTGTGTTATGTTAAAGCTGGGGCACGTAACTTTCAACCCACAGTAGAACTCATCAAATCCACATCACTAAAACAGTTGCCTCTATCATAGTTTTCACATCATGTATATCTTGTCTCTGTCTCAGCTTTAGATCATATTTTTCAGACCGAAAAAAACAGCTCTTTGCCAACAGAGTCAAATAGTGACTCACATGGATCTTTCTTACACAAAAGATAACTAACAAAAGAGTATCTGGAGAAAGTGCAGTTCCCGAGATTTAAGTCGATCATAAGTTCCCGAGGACAGATCCACATGGTTCAAGTGTTTTGTATCTGTTCAATTCAGGGGCTGAAAACCACAAATAATGTCTATGTCTCTCTCAAACAGACGGAGAGCGGAACAGACAGAGGAGAGAGAGCCAGACATCAGGTGAGTATTTACACCAACTGTCAGAGCAGTCAAATTGACGGCTTTTAGTTTTGGAAGTGTATGTACGTGATTGGTCTTCATATCTTTGTCGTTTTTGTAGTTTATTTCTTTGTCAGCACTTTGATGAAATATCTTTCATGTTTTTAAATGAGAGGAGTTCTACCTTTAAACCTAAACTAACAATCAACACATTCATAATTGTAATAGTTGTAATAATTTTAACTTTTATCTTTTATAAATGTACATTGGCTCTTACTATGCTTTACTCTATTCTCTACTTCTCTACTTTTGACTTGCATCAAGAGCAAAAGCAATTTCCTCGTCTGTGACTTCCTGTTACCTGCATGGCAATAAAAACGATTCTGATTCTGAAATGTAGGCTTTTTCTGTAGCTTGGTAACTACTTTCTGGACTGGTTCTGGACTGGTCCTGGACTGGTCCTGGACTGGCCCTGGACTGGTTCTGATTCTCTTTAGCTTGTTTTAGGAGCAAGTTTCCATGGTGACACACTGTTTACTTGCCAACTTTTAAAATTTGGTCTTTAGCATTCACTGTTCACCTGTCTTATCTGTATATATATATATATTCTGAGTTATATAAACATGTTTTAGCACTTAGTATACATGACTAAAGGTTAAAAAACCTCATGAGTTGGTTTGAATGGAAGCAGTCAAAATGACGGCTCTGGGAGTACAAGTGTAAACCAGAGAGACAGTTATATAAGTCCAAAGTGTTGATCTGGACAGAGACACAAACTCAGTGTCAACCCGGGACAACAGCACGAAAGAGAGTTGTTTAGACCCGTGTCAGCTTTCCCCTCAGAGAAGACAGGAAAGTGTCGAGATAAAAGGGTCAAATGAAACTTCCCAGTTTCAATATAAGTTGGCTATAGTTACTTTTAATATTTACCCAATATATGTTGCACAAAAGAGACTATATTTTTAACATTTTTGCACATTTCCTGTCTATTGCACGCCCTGAGTGATTCTTATTTATCTCATCTTAAAGCCACAGCATGAGTAACCAGGTGCAGAAAGTGACCAGAGAGACCAGAGGGAGAGACCAGAAAGAGACCAGAGGGAGAGACCAGGGAGAGACCAGAGGGAGATGACAAGAGAGAGAGACCAGAGAGAGACCAGAGAGAGACCAGAGAGGAACAAGAGAGAGACCAGAGGGAGAGACCAGAAGAGAGATCATAAGCTTATTGTGGGTTATTTTTAGAACACAACACCCCCGCGATAAACCAGAGACCACTACATTTGTATTTCACAAATTTCAGATTCCATTCTCACCGCAGTTTCACACAGAGCTCATGAGTCAGATCTGTGGAGGTGTCATCTAAACCTGTATAATCCTACTACAGATCCCACCTGACCACGTGATTCCGCCCTCACCTCTTAGCCCCGCCCTCACCTCGTTAGCCCCGCCCACATTGTAGAGTAGGGAGACCAGAGAGAGACAAGAGAAACCAGAGAGAAACCAGAGAGAGACCAGATAGAGACAAGAGAGAGACCAGAGGGAGAGGCCATAGTGTGATAGAACAAATGGGACTAGAGAGAGACCAGAGGGAGACTAGAGACCAAAGAGAGACCAGAGAGAACCCAGAGAGACAAGAGAGAGAGAGCAGAGAAAAACAGAGAGACAAGGTAGGGACTAGACAAAGACAAGAAAATGGATGGATGGATGGATCTAAATTGTATTGTTAAAAATGTGTAATATTGTGTTCTACCACCAGAGGGAGGTATTCTGTTTTTCTTTCATTACAATTTCAATCGTTACACACACTGACACTAAGCTAAGGCAAGGATGCATCACAGTGTAACGGTTTGAGACAGGAGCTTTTAGACTGAAGGGGTGGGGGGACGTGTTTGTTTTCCTGATGTTAGCATGGATGGTTTCAAACACATCTCCAGGTCGTGTCTAATGAAAAGCATGCCACAGTTGCCATGACCACAGATCCAGGTGATAACGTTTAAGCTGTGTTTTAATAATTGTCTGTTTTTTTGGAATTCTTAATGAATAAAATTATAAATACGGACATTGTGTTTGTCTTGTTTTTTATGAGCCTCAATCAACGCTCAAAGACGCTTCATGCTATTATTCCACACGCAGAGGTGATAAACTAGTACTGTAGCCATGGCTGCCCTGGGGCACACTGAAGCGAGGCAACCAGTATGTGCCATTGGCCCCTCCGACCACCAACCATACACACACACCAGACTTATTATAGGCCATGTGGGTGAATCGTCTTGCATTGCTCTCTCTGGTCTTTCTTGTTTATCTCAGGTTTCTCTCTCTCTACATGGTCTCTCTCTGGTCTCTCTCTGGTCTTTCTCTGCTATCCTTGTTTCTGACTTCCTGTATCTTACATTGGCAATAAAAGGAAAAAAATATTCTTCTCTGGTCTCTGCTCTCTCTCTCTAGTCTTTCTCTGGTCTCTCTCTAGTCTCCCTCTGAGAGCTCTATTCTCTGTCTGGTCTCTCTGCTCTCTCTCTGTGGTCTCTCTCTGGTCTCTCTGCTTTTTCTGTGGTCTCTCTAGTCTTTCTCTGGTCTCTCTCTGGTCTCTGCTCTGCTCTCTGTCTGGTCTCTCTTCTCTCTTTATGGTCTCTCTCTGGTCTCTCTCTGCTCTCTGTCTGGTCTCTGCTCTCTCTCTTTTCTCTGTCTGGTCTCTGCTCTCTCACTGTGGTCTCTCTCTGGTCTCTCTCTAGTCTTTCTCTGCGCTCTCTCTGGTCTCTGCTCTCTCTCTTTTCTCTGTCTGGTCTGTACTCTCTCTCTGTGGTCTCTCTCTGGTCTCTCTGATTTTTCTATGGTCTCTCTCTAGTCTGTCTCTGGTCTCTCTCTGGTCTCTGCTCTGCTCTCTGTCTGGTCTCTCTTCTGTCTCTATGGTCTCTCTCTGGTCCCATTAATGTTAATGTACATGATACAAAACAGGTGCTCACCGTTTGGTCTGATGTGAAGAAGTGAAGAGGACGAGTGCAACAGTAAACCACATCCTCTGCACCAGGAACACAGCTTTCACATGTCCCCATGACGACCACAACTGCTGCTGGTTCAAACTGAGAGTCCAACAAATGGAGTGGGATGAAGTTTAACATTTGTTGATGCCGATCTGCTCTTTCAAAGTCTTAATATTTCACGTTTATTTTCTTTAGTGTTTGCCCCTTTCTGACAAAAAAAAAACAAGCACGAACAATTTCCTCAGCTTTTATAATAAGTTAGTAAAACTTTACGCAAGTTACGCATACCAAAACTTTAAGAACATATACTAAACATATGTTTTTCTTCACATTTTTAGTTCTCATTTTCAATGTTTAATCATATACGGCTGTAAATTATCGCCTCTCCACAGACCAGACTCGGGACTGAGCCACTGTCCCGTCCAGAAGAGTCAGGTGTCAGATAAAGTTTTGTTTTGGCCCGAAATGATTCGATCACGTTGTTTTTAGGTCATGGCGCTGTTTCTGTCGCCCTCTGCTGGTAACTGGTGACACTGCAGAAACATGTATTTTGAGAATTTTGAGATTATTGTGCGTAGTTTGAAATACACACTCACATAGACACATGCACAGGCGTACACCCATACACACATTCACACACACACTCACACACACACGCAGAGACACGTACACACATGTAGAGAGTGCTGTGGGAAGATCTCTGGTGTGTATTATCCTGGTGCACACTGAGTCTTGCAAAGTTTTTCCAATGTGGTTTATTTTTTATTTATTTATTGATTGATTCATTTCGAGCAGATCACATAAAAAACGGTTTTACTGCAAATGGAAAATAAAATGGCAAATAAAATCACGATTGATTCGAGTAAAGGAAAGAAAGAATGGGGTCTTGTGTCATGAGATTTGGAGTGAAAACCGCAGCGGCAAGAGCAGTGAAGATGAATCGTAGCTGGTCCTGGAGTGGACGAGCCAGTCTGTCTCAACCTCAGAAAATCTTTAGAGGGAGTTGAAAACCCAGCGTCAAAACAGCACTGCTCGAGAAGAGATCTGCATGGAGGAATGGGCCAAAATACCAGCAACGATGTAAAAACCTAATGAAGACCTACTGACAACATTTTACCTCTGTCATTGCCAACAAAGGAGATACAACAAAGTATTGAGATGGATTTTTTTATTTACGAAATACTTATTTTCCACCATATTTTGCAACATGTAATACAATACAATACAATACAATTTATTCTTGTATAGCCCTAGGTCACAACAGAAGTCATCTCAGAGGACTTAACAAAACCATTGAAATCACCAACACAGGTCAGAGAATCAACAGTTAAAACACATGAAGAATATAAAGCACACACAGAAGAAAATGTCCATACATGTTGTAGAATGCTAAAGTGTCCTGATCATCACCAATCCTTTCTGTTGGACACTAACTGTCCAACAAGACCCTCCTGCATCCACAAGGAACAACTCTTAAAAAACCCAGTGGGAAAAAGTGAGAAACCTTGGAGGAGAACTAGGGAAACCCACAGGGAGGGAGACCCATTTGAGAAAGGGATCCGCTCCTCCGGACGGACAGGCTAATGATTTAGGACCTAAGCTAGCTACAGGACGTGGACCAGTGGCCGCTGAACGTGGACAGGTCCGGTGCAGGACCGAAGCACTCCCAGGCGGGTCGGGCGGGGCAGTCCGCAGGTGTAGATGGAGGAGGCCAGGCTCAGAGATCCCGTCATCGTACCATGAAACAGACAATGGGACAACGGGTGAATAGCAATGAACAAACTACAGTCGGAATCCTAAAAGTGCTAAACAGATAAAGTAGATAAAGTAGGTAAAGTAGGAAGGGGGAGAGGATAGTGCTCAAGTTACCATACTTCTCCCAGCAAACTGACTCCCTATGCAGCTTGACTGACACTCTGAGGAGTTTAGCCTTCCCCGAGTCTTACCTTCCTAACCATATGCTAAACTAAAGAGGACTGTTTTAAACCTAGCCTTGAATAAAGAGATTCATGGATTGCACACCAGGTGTGCAAACCGATCCAAGCAAACCTAATTATATATTATATATCATGTACATCACATATACCATACATACCATATATATCATATATAATACACAACATAACATACAGCATAATATATAACATAATATACAACATAACACAATACATTATTGTATAATATATAACATAATATATAACATAATACAGCATATATATATATAATATATACACCATATATTATATATTACCTAATTATATGCTAAATTAAAGTAAAGTGCTTTAAGCCTGGCCTTGAATGTGGAGACCGTATCTGCTTCCTTAACATAAATGAAGCTGATTCCACAGTAAAGGAGCTTGGAGCTAAATGCTCTGCCACCAACAGTGACCTTTGAGACCTTAGGGACCACCAGACGTCTGGCGTTTTGTGAGCGCAACGCTCGACTTGGTTGATACGACACTAACGTGTCTTGGAGATAAGAAGGAGCCAAGCCATTTATGGCTTTATATGTTAAGAGAAGGATTTTAACCTTTATTCTGTACTCCACAGGGAGCAATGTGGAGTGATTTCAACACCGGAGTTATGTGCTCCCTCCTTTTGGTACCTGTTAAGATCCTAGCTGCTGTATTCTGAACGAGCTGGAAGCTCTTCAAAGAGGCTTTAGGGCACGCTGCCAGTAAAGCGTTACAGTAGTCGAGCCTTGAGGTGACAAACGCGTGAATGAGTTTTTCCGCGTCACTTTTAGGAAGGAAAGTAATCTTTATGCATGCACAATTTGTGGCTGACTAAATATTGTTTAGCCCCTCTGAACATACACAGGAACGTTATACATATTTTATTACATGGAGATGGTTGGATTTGATAGAATTTATTTGGTAAAACACAAGAGAAACACATCTGCCCAGAACCAGAACACACAGGATTCAGTCTGGAGCTCGGTCCTGGAGCAGCGTGTCCAACACTGGGATTTACTGCTATCTACTGGTGTCAGCGGGGAGTACCATAATAGCCTAATCATAAAGCCAGGCTCCAGAGTGTGCACAGATGTAGCGTGTTCTAAACTATCCCAATGAAGCTCGATGGGGAAGTGCTCATGGACGAATTTTTGCTCCAACTCGCTCTGGCTCCCATTGATGTACATGGAAATAAAAACTCTGTAACTATATGTGTCATGGTGTCTTCGCAATTCAAGATATGAACCATAGACGGATTGACCAATCAGATGCCTTGAATCTGTTCTCCTCGCTGGTGGTGGTATTGCCGAGGGGAGGGACCGATTTGAATGCATTGATTTGGAAAAAATTGATAATATTGTGATGTTTAAGCCACAATTCAATATTATTGATTCTTAACCAGTGTTGGGTAGAATACTTTGACAATGAATTCCATGGCTGAATACTGAATACATGACCTACAAAGTATTTTGTACATTATTCCGTTACTTTGCAATACATTTTACTGTATCCGAATACTTGGAATACATTTATTGGATCATTGCTTTTTATGACTTTTCTCACAAATTACACCCTTTAGAAATATAACCCTCTAATTTGCATACACACGCACGCACACGCGCACTTTCTGTTGAATGAAAACTCAAACATATTCAGATGTAGCCTGGTCGTACCACACCATAGTACAAATGTTGTACTAGAGCGGAGTGTACAGATGGCTAAGGCCAGGCTAATTCAGATGTGAAGTACCAAAGTTAACTCAGAAAACACTAAAGTAAAATAAATATAAATACTCTGCTCTACTTTATAGATTTAGTTGCGTGCACAAAATGTTGCGATCATGGAGCTGGGTCGATACCGAACATATTTTTTTCCCACCACCACTAGCGCCAAAGCAGACGCTGAGGAAGCTGCTGTGTTTCTGTCCAGGTGTAAAACATGTGTCTTTTGTTGTTGTTGGTGTTCAGCTGATGAAGACGACAGAAGATGAAGGTCTGGGATCGAGTCTCAACATGTTTTATTGTCGGTTCACAGAGCAATAAAACAAAAGATCCACACAAGTTTGAAGTAAAAAGAGATATGACTAATTAAACACAATGATACCAACATAAAACATGTTTTCAAACACAGAGCTTTGAGACATAAATAAAAGGACATTAAAAAGTACATAAACAATTGTCACTGTGGAACTCAAGTTCTTGCACTTGATGGTTTAATGGCTGTTGTAGGTCTGAGCGCTGCTGCAGCTGTCAAAAGCCGTGCGCACAATGTAAAATACAGCTGCAGAGGACACTACACTGAGGGCCAAATAGAGAGAGCAGAGAGAGACCAGAGAGAGATTAGAGAAAGACAAGAGAGAGAGAGAAAGAGACACCAGAGATAGAGACTAGAGAGAGACCAGAAAGACCAGAAAGAGGACCATGGTAGTCCTTTGAACTAATCACTGTGGTGCACACAAGCCACAAGTTTCCTTCTGACTTTAAATACCAGTAACTGTCATGTTGTACTCGCGGGGTTATGATGTTTATGATATTGGTGGAGTTTACACACAGCACACTGTAAAAGAAGCACACACAGATATCAGAGGGACCGCAGTATGGTGAGGTGGTAAACAATCGTCATTCAGCCACCTTCAGCTTTAATATACACATAACACACCCCATTTTAAAGTTCAGAACAGCTTGGATCCAGTCAAAACAGTTTTACAATCCATGTTTTAAGCTTCGGGACTGGTCTGCTCAACTAAAGTGGCCTGTCACTACAAAGTTTGGACACCTTTTTGAGTCGTTTCACAGTAAAAATTGTTTATGTACTTGTTAATGTGCACTCATACAGCAGTCTGAGCAGAGACGCCCAGACTTCCCTCTCCACACACACTCCCTCCAGCTCATCTGGGGGGATCCTGAGGCGCAAACCAGCTGAGAGACACAGAGGCGTCCAGGAGGCATCCCAAACAGACGTTCGAGCCTCCTCAACAGGCTCATCTGGACGTGGAGGAACTGAGGCTCTATTCTGAGCTCCAAAGTTTATGACCAGGGGTGAGGGGACATAGACATAGTCAATACATTTTATATATTTTTTTTACTCTTGCATTTCAACTTTCAAGCGTGACTGCATTTAGTTCCAGTTTCACTTTTGGTACAAGGCGATTTAATTTGAGAATTTTCTTTTTGCCTTTTTTTGTGAGTGAAGCTCTCAACACACGCACACAAGCACGCATACACACACAAACAGGCGCACACACGCCCATACTCTTGCATATAATAAAAGACATAATTTAATCTTGCAGCCGTAGTGTGGATGGAGCTACACTCCAGGCCTGTTGGGTGAGGATCAGTCCAGTGTCTCCCACGTCGCCCTCACCTGGCGGGGTGTCTCTGCTGCACTCTGAGGGGGCTCTGGACGGGGGCCTGCTGGACGTAGCCTCCCCACGCTCTGTGCTGCAGTCTGTGGAGGCCGGGTGAGGAGGTGTAGTGATGGGGGAAATTCTGGGGGAGGTGGGGGGAGGAGGAGGAGGGGCCGGCGCGGGTCTGCTGACGCGCCATTTTCCGTGCGTAATACCTCCGCGAGGCCGCCCTCCAGGAGGCACGCCGCCTCTTCATGGCCTCCTCAGACTGGTCCTTCAGGGAGGAGTCTTTTCTACTGCTGCTGCAGTCGCTGTCGGCACATGAGGAGAAGGAGGTGAAGAGGAGAAGAGGACAGAGGCTTTATTTAATCCATTTGCATTTTATTTATCTATTTAAGGGTAGCCCCATTGAGATAATAATAATGCATTGGTTTTATACAGCGCTTTTTTGGACACTCAAAGATGCTGGGGCACACTGACAGAAGCGAGGCAACCAGTCTGTGCCATCAGCCCCTCCGACCACCACCAACCATTCACACACACACCAGACTCATTCTAGGCAATGGGGGTTAAGTGTCTTGCCAAGGACACAACGACAGCAGACAGTGGGAGTCGATGGTGAAAGTCGGGCTCGAACCCACGACCCTCTGGCTCAAAGGCCAACGCTTTACCAACTGAGCTACTGAGATGAATCATCTTTTTTTTTTTGAGGGGGTCCTTTGTTACAAGGATGGCTAAACTGCGCGATAATGAAATAAAAAAATAAAAAGACACAAACAAAGTACAGGTAGGAACACACACACGAAGTAGTAGTCTATAATCTTCTAACATCTGCATGATGTCTTTAAACAAGAGAACAACAGCTACTTGAATAATGGAATTCTTTCCCATATCAAGCTAATGGGATTTTGTGGGAATGAAATAGGATCTAGTGGCCACAAAATAAGTGTATTTGGTGCAGGCCGTCTAAAGGGCTCTGTACAATATAGAGGTCGAGGAAACCAACACCAGAGACAGAGCTCACCCAGTGTAGAGAGGCCGCGGGACAGACGCCAACGCTGACGCGCTCTCTGCCTCTGGACACACACTCGGCCACAGCTCGCACTGTCCCAGGATCTCTGCACAAACAGAAACAATAAACACTTCTGTAGCTTTGTCTTGTGGCTTAAAGCTGCACTCACAGCGCAGCATCCTTAAGATGAAGAGATTCTTTATTCGTCCCACAGCGGGGAAATTTAGAATTGATTTTTACATTTTACTGATCACTTTTAAAGCTCGTTTTAGGTCTGGCACCCTACGAGCCATTCCCCCGCAGCCTTAGATCCTCGGGCAGGACCCTGTTGACTGCCCGAGGAGATAAGGCTAGCACCATCAGAATCCTCTTTAAAATAACTTTTTTTTTTACTTCACATCTATTTTCCTTTCTGCTTTGTATTGCTAATTATTTTGACTTTGTATTATCATGACTATTTCTATTATTTATTTTCATTATGCTGACTGCAGCGCTTTGTAAACATTGTTCAGATTATTATTGCACAAACACACAACATTTGAGGTCAGGTTTGCAGTGTCCGTTGGGCCTCATTGTTCGTTGTACAGTCTGACAGCAGGAGGTAGGAAAGAACTGCAGAACCTCTCCTTCACACAGCAAGGGTGGATCAGTCTGTCGTTGAAACTGCTCTCACAGGGGTTCGCATGGACAGTGAAAACATGTACAAGTGAAACTACAGACGCCAAAAAAGACTGCGTGCGCTCACCTTCGACTCTGTGGGACACGTCCTCACTCAGCGCCCTCTGCAGGAACATCGCGGGAACGTCCTCTTGTGACATCAGCTCGAAGTCTGGGCAGAAAGGCTCCTGCTTGATCTCTGTGGGACTGAGGCATTGAGGTCTGGAGGACTGTGGACCAGGACTGAGGCACTGAGGTCTGGAGGACTGTGGACCAGGACTGAGGCACTGAGGTCTGGAGGACTGTGGACCGGGACTGAAGCACTGAGGTCTGGAGGACTGTGGACCAGGACTGAAGCACTGAGGTCTGGAGGACTGTGGACCAGGACTGAGGCACTGGGGCCTGGTGGGCTCAGCCTCCTGTTTGACCTGTGTGTAGGGGGCGCACTGTGGCAGTAGCAGGACAGTTCCATCAGGGGGACACGGGGGCTCGGCTTGTTCTTGCGGTGGAGGCAGAGACTCGTTGTGGTCCTGGGAGCGAGGACGAACCTGCTCAAGGCCGTCGGAGGGGTCCAGAGACGCCTGCAGAGCCACTGCAAAGAGACGAGTGTTTAGCATTAGCTTTGTTCATCCATTTGTAGCTTATGACGAACAGATACAGAGATACAGACGTAACTGCGGACACTCACTGTGGAGAACATCTATACAAAGTGATTAGTAATAATAATAATGTGTACACATTAGGGGTAATACTGGACTCAGACTTAAATTTTAATAGCCACATCAAATCAGTAACATCAGCAGCTTTTTACCATCTAAAAAACATTGCCAGGATCAAAAACATAGTGTCTAAAGCAGACTTGGAGATTCTTATCCATGCATTTGTCTCCAGTAGGTTAGACTACTGCAATGGCCTGCTCACAGGTCTGTCCAAACAGGCTGTAAAACAGCTGCAGTACATTCAAAATGCAGCAGCTCGAGTCCTGACTAGAACCAGGAAGTACGACCATATTAGCCCTGACTAGAACCAGGAAGTACGACCATATTAGTCCAGTTCTCAGGTCTCTGCACTGGCTTCCTGTGGCTCAGAGAATAGACTTTAAAACAGCTCTGCTTGTTACAAATCTCTCCATGGCCTCGCACCAAAATATATTAGTGACATGTTAGTCCCATATGAACCAGCCCGGACTCTGAGGAGCACAGGGACTGGACTCCTGCTGGGACTCTGAGGAGCACAGGGACTGGACTCCTGTTAGTGCCCAGAGTCAGAACTAAACATGGGGAGGCTGCTTTTCAGATTCATGTTTCTAAAATCTGGAACAATCTTCCTGAAGATGTGAGACAGGCCTCCTCTCTGACAATGTTTAAAACCAGGTTAAAGACAGTTCTGTTTAGCTGTGCATACAACTGAGGGATTTTATATTTTTATCTTTCTTTTTAATGTTCTGTGATTATTTATGATTTTAATGCCTTCTTATTTTATTCAGCACTTTGAGTTACCTTGTGTATGAATTGCGCTATATAAATAAACTTGCCTTGCCTTGCGCAGTGATGATACTGTAGCCACAGCTGCCCTGTGAAGTGAGTGAGGCTACCAGTATGTAACATTTGCTCCTTCGACCACCATCAATCATTCGCGCACACACCAGACTCATTCTAGGCAACGTGGGTGAAGTGTCTTGCTTAAGCACCGCCACATTCCACTTCGGCACCTGGCGTTCCCAGAGGTCTCCCATCACTGAACTAACATTAACATTCATCTAGGTTTTGAATAAGGAGACTTTCCTTGCTCTCAGCCCAAAAAGGCATATAGTGATTGGATCTCCACAAACCTGGCTCACACTGGGGATCCATGGAGACAGTTTTCTTCCACGGTCTGGTTTGACCTTGTATAGAAAGTGCACACACTTATGCAGGCTTTTAACACTACATCTCCAAGAGCAGTCACTTCAATTCAATTCCATGTATTTATGCATCACCTCTGAGGACTGTACAAAGCTGTCGATTCGCCAACACACATCAGAGAATCAAAGTTTAAACACAGGAAATGACTCAGGGCCTGTACTGTGTTTTTTTTTTTTTTTTTTTTACATCTGTGATTAGTACTACTTTTCTAGTACTTCCAGAATTCAGGAGGCTCCAAAGGACAGCGGTGATGATCCAGGACTCTTGACATTCAACAACATCGGTCTCTGCCCCTTATGGACCAATGGCTCTATCGCTGTATGTTTTTATTATCATTGCATTTCTTGTGTTTGTGAACTGGTTGATTCTCTGGTCCGTTTTGCAGAATCAACATCATCGTAAAGTCCTCCGAGAAAACTAATTTTGTCTATACAAAAAAAAAAATAAGATGCATTGAAACAGACTTTAAACTAGACCCAGTTGCAGCAGGACTCACCGGAAACACGCAGCTCGCAGTCGCCGCTCCGCTCGTGCTCTCCGGTGTCCGCGAGAGGTCCGGGGGCAGTGGGGGCCCCGGAACCCACGACCCCGGGACCCTCTGTACCGGAAACATTCAAACCGGACGCCTCAACTCCAGCCTCCTCCACACCAGAGCCGTCGGCCCCGGGGCACCACCACGGCCTCTTCATCAGCCGCAGCTCCTTCTCCGCCTCACGCACGCGCTCCTGTAGCACACGCACGTCCCGGTCGCGCTCGTGCACGCGCCGCTGGAGCTCGTCCACGCGCGCACTGTTCACGGCGCTCAGCACGTTCATCACCGACTCCACCGCCAAGCGCACGGCCTTCTCCAGGACCGCGGCCTCGTGAGCGCGCAGCTGCATGACTACGGGAGGCACCAGGAGAGAGGCACCAGGAGAGACACCAGGAGAGACACCAGGAGAGAGACCAGGGGAAAGATCTGGTCTGAGATTTGTGAAGATGGGATCTGGGGAGAGAGGCGCACCAACCCGGGGGAAGGCTGAGGAAACACCGGAGAGACCCTGGGGGAGAGGGCAGACACTGGAGCGAGACACCGGGAGGAGAGATCTTAATCCGGAGAGAGGCAGAGGCGACACCGCGGGAGACACCGTGAGAAGCGGCAGAGACAGAAGCGACACCGGAGCGACAGATCAACAACACAGAAATACGTCACGTGATGGTTCCCGATGTTTTCAGTTCGTAGCGCCACCTGCTGTGTTGGTGTGGCATCGTCTTTCAGAAAGGGAACCCAGAAGTCACCAGTAAAATTAAATAAATACAATAAAAGTTTAAAATCTGCATCAAATAAAAGTTTGTGATTTTAATATTATCTTATTAAATTTTTTTTAACAGAGGTTCTCAAAATATCACAACATAGTGTTTCATTATGATCATTTTTATTGAGTTCTTAAATTTTCAAAAGAAAAAAACACAGGAACAAATAGTGACTGTCTTAATGCCTAATGCATACCGATAGGTATAGAAACTGACCCTTTGTTCCTTGAGGCTTTGATAGTTGAATGCATCTCCTCACATGCAACATTTTCAATAATTTCTATTCCATTTTTACTGTTGGTGTGAGGGTCTTTCCATTCTCTTAAAATTAGATGGACACATGTTGCCAGTGCAGTATTTAGTAGTAAATGGCTTGAATGTCAATGTTAAGGACATTTTTGATGAGTTAATAAAAAATATCAATCATAAAAAATGCTGAGAAAAATCATGCAAGCTTTCTAAGGGCCACTCAAAAAAGTGGGTGGGACTAGGACCGCCCTGGCCCTAATATGCCTACGTCACTGTTTACTACTCTAAAACAGTTTTTTATAATAATGGCAAGGCAAGGCAAGTTTATTTATATAGCACAATTCATACACAAGGCAATTCAAAGTGCTGAACAAAATAAGAAAGCATTAAAATCATAAATAATCACACAACATTAAAAAGAAAGATAAAAATATAAAATCCCTCAGTTGTATGCACAGCTAAACAGAACTGTCTTTAACCTGGTTTTAAACATTGTCAGAGAGGAGGCCTGTCTCACATCTTCAGGAAGATTGTTCCAGATTTTAGCAGCATGAATCTGAAAAGCAGCCTCCCCATGTTTAGTACATGTTTAGTATAATAATACAATGATAATAACACATTTTCAAAATATTGTCATCATATGAATTATGTAAGGGATAATGTATAGAACACAGGTCATTATCAGAAAATAAGCACCAACAGGTCAAACCGGAGCGAGATTATGTTCTATATATTATCTTGCTTATTATACAGCTGTCTGCCAACTGAACACACAAAATGAACTTCAGTCCAACTTTATGAATGCTGAAAGATTTATTTAATGACTGCAGTTAAAATATTTCCCAAACGTTTTCCCGTTGGCAACGTGCCGTGGCCGTGGCCAGGAAGTGTGGCCGCATTAACGTGGCTAGGAGAGAAACAGCTCGGCTAGCCACCAGCTTATTTATATTAAACTGGACGTTCCCGATGAAGGTGCAGTTGGAGATGAGGAATGGTGGTGTATCTCTGGGTAAGATGAAAGTCGGACTCCCGTTAACCTCAGGAGCGATTCCCCCAGCTTCTCACGCAGGGACAGAGGTAGTGTCGCTGAAAGCTCGTTGGCATAGTGGCCGGATTACTGCGGAGTGATCTGACACACGTGCCACTGACAGCGGCCATTATCCGTTTGAGAGGTCCGTTATCAAGATACAATGACCGGTAGAATGCTTTGAAATTACTTTCTAATCAACGGAGTATTCTACTTCTACTGCGAAGAGCCATATAATAATGTGTTTTATTATATGAATTATTATTATACTATATAAAATATTCATATTCATTATATATATTATTACCCCCATCCTCAAACAACTCCACCAGCTCCCCATCCTACAACGCATAAAATATGATGTCCTCCTCATCACACACAAGTCTCTCCATAACCGGGCCCCTGTCACAACCTCCTCCATCCCTGAACCATGAAAGCCGGGCCTTCTGAAGCCTGAAGATCGAGCCGTCTAAACCATGAGGGCAAAGCTTTCTGAACCCCGAGGACCGAGTCTTCTGAACCCTGAGAACAGAGCCTTCTGAACCCTGAGAACAGAGCCTTCTGAACCCTGAGAACAGAGCCTTCTGAACCCTGAGAACAGAGCCTTCTGAACCCTGAGAACAGTCTTCTGAACCCTGAGAACAGAGCCTTCTGAACCCTGAGAACAGAGCCTTCTGAACCCTGAGAACAGAGCCTTCTGAACCCTGAGAACAGAGCCTTCTGAACCCTGAGAACAGAGCCTTCTGAACCCTTTCTGAAATCTTTTCCAAAACACATCAGGAACTCAGACACACTTTAAAACTTCCAATCGCTGCTAAAACCCCCACCTGTTCAAAACTGGCTGCACTGAACTGTTTATATAGCTTTTTATTTTTGTCATTTTCATTTCAATCCGTCCCTTACTACAGACTTTTTGAGTGTCCAAAATTGTGTTATATAAGTATGATGTTTTATTATCATATCCCCCTGGACTGCCCTTAGGGTAAATATCAGCTACCCCCTGGACTGCCACCTTAACGTGGTGGGGGAGTTTGAGTACTCGAATGATCATGGGAGCTATGTTGTCGGGGGTTTCTTGCCCCTAGTAGGGTCTCCCATCGCAGATAGGTCTCGGGTGACGAGTCAGACAAAGCGCAGTCCAGAGCCATCATGGAAAGCACGAAATTGACAACCATGACGTTGTCCGGTATGGTGCAGCCGGGGCCCCACCCTGCAGCCAGGCCTGGAGTTGGGTCTCGAAAGCGGGCTATAGTCGGCCTTACCTCCACACACAGCTTGGCCTCTGGAACCCAACTCCTTGAGAAGGGTTGGATGCTTCATTTCTTTAGTGTTTCTCGCAGGGAGAGACGGCGAGGGGGAGTGGCCATACTCATTGCCCCCCATCTCAGCTGCCCCCTGTTGGGAGTTCTCAACGGTGAATGAGAGGGTCGCGTCCCTCCGCCTCTGGGTAGGGGGTAAGTCTCTCACTGTAATGACAGCCTACGGGCCTAAGAGCAGTGCATAGTACCCGGGGTACTGGACATTGCGCCAAATGGGGACTTCTTTATTCTCCTGCGGGACTTCAACGCCCATGTGGGAAACGTGACACTTGGAGAGGGCTGTCCGGTCCCTGTATGACCGGAGCCAGAGCTGTGTTTGCATTGCCGGCAGTAAGTCAGACCTGTTCCCGGTGCATGTTGGCCTCCGGCAGGGCTGCCCTTTGTCACAGGTTCTGTTCACTGTATTTATGGACAGAATTCCTAGGCGCAGCCAGGGGCCGAAGGGGGTCCAGTTCGGGGAACACAGAATTTCATCTCTGCTGTTAGCGGACGATGTTGTCCTGTTGGCTCCAACAAACCAGGACCTACAACATGCACTGGGACGGTTTGCAGCCGAGTGTGAAGCGGCTGGGATGAGAATCAGCACCTACAAATCCGAGGCCATGGTGCTCGTCTGGAAAAAGGTGCCTTTCCCTCTCCAGGTGGGTGGAGAGGTCCTTCCTCAAGTGTAGGAGGAAGTATCTCGGGGTCTTGTTCACGCCTGAGGGAAGGATGGAGCGTGAGATTGACAGGCAGATCGGTGCAGCGTGCGCAGTGATGCGGTCGCTGTATCGGACTGTTGTGGTAAAGAGGGAGCTGAGCCGAAAGGCAAAGCTCTCGATTTACCGGTCAATCTTCGTTCCCTCCCTCACCTATGGTCATGAGCTTTGGGTAATGACCGAAAGAACGAGATCGCAAATACAAGTGGTCGAAATGAGCTTCCTCCACAGTGTGGCTGGACGCTCTCTTTCTCCAGCCGTGACGGAGTGTGGTCCTCGTGCAGTTTCCTCTATTTAAAAACAGAAATCACATGGTGTCCAGTCACAGAGGTGTGTTTAACCTGCTGCACTTCTCTCTTCGAGGAAGCCCAGTTTGCACAACGTGGCTTCGGGGGTTTTATGTCAAATACTGAACAATGTAAGCAAACAGAGCGAAAGAGGGAAGTAAGGACTAAAGACGGACTGAAGCACAGACTGAAGCAGAGACTAAAGCAGAGACTAAAAAGGGACAAAAAAGAGACTAAAGCAGAGACAGAGAGTAAATCTCTGTTGGATTATGGAGGATGACGTAAATTACGTTTCTGTGGTTTTCAAGAACAGACCTTCGCCCCAAACAGGTGAGAAAAACACTATTCGTTGTTGTTGATCAAATACTTATTGTGTTGCACTGCTCAAGGCATTATTGTAATTGTAATTAATCATTGTACTCAATCTAAGATTGATTTGGAAACCAAGCTATTTTTTGGTTTTAAAGATGTCAATATTAAAAACAGACATTATTTGTGAGTTGGCTCAGAAGCATCAAAGTGGATTTTGTCCAATTTACTTTGGAGCCGGGCCTTTTACTAAACTGTTCAAGTGTCTGGATTGCAAGTATAGATTAGAATGTCATTAGCATATAGTGAAATATAGTTTTGTATCTTGATTGCCTGAACTTCAGCTGACTGTCTAATGAAGTTATTTATTTATTGGTTCTAAAGAGAGAGAACATAACAGTGGTGACAAGGGCAGCCCTGGTGTGAAGAGGACACAGGAAACCAAAGGGATCAGGTTAAAACCACTGCACTGGGGTTGGTAAAAGAGTTTTAATTGTTAAGTTGGAATTCTCATCAAAACCCACATACTTGAGCACATAAGTAATTCCATTTAACCCTTATATTGAAAAAAAATGACATTGATTATGTTGCGGGTCATTTTGACCCGTACTGTGTAAATGCACTCAAAACAGTCAAAAAAACAGGTTAAACCAATAACAACTTTATTTTAGGTTATATAAATATTTAGAAAAGTGACATACAATACATTTTTCATTCCAACGCTATATTTAAGAATTATTTTGTCTAATCTTCTTGCCCTCCTCTCGGGTCAAAATGACAATTCTTCCCTCCTTCTTTCCTCCTGCCATGCTTTCTCCTTCCTTTTTCTCATCCTGTTTTCCTTCTCTCTGTTCATCCTCCTCTATTCCCTTCTTTTCTCTTCCTTCTTTCCTTCCTGTCTCCCTTCTTTCCTTCCTACCTTCCTTCCTCCCTTCTTCTTTCCTTGACAAAGATTCGTCCTCTGAATCCTCCTTATCGTAGGAAAATTGACAATCTGGATCAGCAATAACATTGTCCTCTGTCTCTGAAAAATCCTCTGTTTCTGAAATCTCTTCCTCTACATCATTATCCATATTTATTATTTGTTAAAAATCTGTGATAAAGCCTCCTCAGATGTCATCCTTCTGGAGCTCATTTTTGGTGAGTTTGTCTAAAGCCTAGCGCACATCGACAGAGTAACTGGAGACAACTAGTTTCCAGGCAGCTTTTGGCAACTGAGAGGAGATGATGGAGATGATCAGTTGCTGAAATCGGTCGATGTGAGCGCTCTTACAACTGGAGATAAACAGTCGATCTCCGGATTCAGTCAGTTGCCCGTGTTCTACTTTTCGGCAACTAGTTGTCCTCAGTTTCGGAGATATCACTCGATGTGCGCGCTCCAACAGCATGTGTGTATTGTGTGTATTGCGCCCTCTACAGTTTTTGTCAGAAAACACACTGTAGTTGAGGCCAGTTGCTGTCGATGTACGCGCTGTTATTCCCGAGACTGGCCTGCTACTAGGAGGTGCCCGTTTTCGCCAGATTGTCGATGTGTGCGGGGCAGCCACTCATAGGCGATGGATATAATCAGTTGCCAGTCCAATGTACGCTAGGCAAAAGAGATGACATGAGAACAGTGACAAGAACAAGTGTGAAAAAGTTCCCTCTCTTCACACACCTGGCTCTGGCTCTCAGAGGCAATCAAAATACAATGTCAAAAGAGACATGTTTTTTTTTATCAGAACAACTATTTACCCACATTAAAGCGTCTGGGTCAAAATGACCCGCAACATCATCTTTGTATACAAACTCTGCACAGACATTCCACTACACATCAAAGTGTCCAGATTTTACACACCAGTTCATGACCCTAGATGAGGAAAAGTCACCAAATTTCAGCAAGAAAAAGAAAGGATAACCAGTACTTTGATCAACAAAAAAACTGAAATGGGTCAAATTGACCCTTAACATAATACAAGGGTTAAGTCGCTCAAATGCCTTTTTGTTATCAATGGAGATAATCGCGTTTTGGTTTGGAACTTTGGATGAGCCGCTAAGAACATGCAGTAACTTGTGAATATTGTCTGATTGTCTAGCTTGATGAATCCTGTCAGGTCTGTGTTACTAACTTTCTCAAAGACCTTTTAGTCTGTGTTTAACAAACTGATGGGCCGATAGGAGGAGCCTTCCGTTTGAGGTTTATCTTTTAAGAGTAGTGGGGCTTTCGGACCGGATCATGCGTTGTAAGGACTTTCAAGGCAAAATCAATGGTGACGCCCGTTTCGAGCGTGGAATTGCATGCGCTGCGGAGGTCGCATTGCGGCAACTCAACGCAGGGCGGAAATGGAAATTGCTGAACTTTTTCTGCCGGCCACACGTGAAGAAAGAAATCAGAGAGGCGCAAAGCGGTCACGAGGTCACAAGCGGTCTGAGCGAGTGACCCTTGTCCCAAGGAAAATTTGCTGTAGGATACAGTGCTACACAGATCTGCATGAATGAAAAAAATAAAATAAAAAAGAACATTACAGGAAAGTTCAGTAGTGCTTTGAAGTCTCTGTTTGGTCAATTTAGCATCAAAATAGGTGCTGGTTCTGGATAAGAATAAGATAAAAGATAAAACATATCATTTAATTTTTGAGTGCATTCATTATTAGCTATTTTTGTTTAAAAGTGCCACAGAAGTTTGGGACAAATGAGAGCTTTCGTAATAACACAGACGACAAGATTAATCATAAACTACAAATGGTTCCTTTCTGTTAACAAACGCTGTGAAGACTACTTCCTCTACAGGTCCTGCTCCTCTCCTGGTAAACAGGCCCCAGTCCTCTCCTGGTACACAGGTCCTGGTCCTCTCCTGGTACACAGGTCCTGGTCCTCTCCTGGTATACACAGATCCTGGTCCTCTCCTGGTTCACCGGTCCTGGTCCTCTCCTGGTATACACAGATCCTGGTCCTCTCCTGGTTCACCGGTCCTGGTTCTCTCCTGGTACACAGGTCCTGGTTCTCTCCTGGTTCACCGGTCCTGGTTCTCTCCTGGTAAACAGGTCCTGGTTCTCTTCTGGTAAACAGGTCCTGGTTCTCTCCTGGTAAACAGGTCCTGGTTCTCTCCTGGTAAACAGGTCCTGGTTCTCTTCTGGTTAAAATGGAAGAATTACATTGAACACAATGTAATTGTCAGAAATGTCATCTGAAATGTCATTGCATTAGAACATATATGTTCATCCAGAATCCTTGTGTTTATAGTTTATAGCAGTTGATTCATGTCGGCCTCAAAGCTGAAAACAAATTAAATTTGTTTTTCAGAAAGTAAAGAAGAACAAACCATTTACTCCGAGGTGAAGATCAAACCAGCGTCTGCAGCCGCCGCAGCAGACGACACAGGTCTGTAGAACATCACGACTGTAAGCTCAGGATGGACCAGAACATTACGACACAGAGGGTTCATCTGCATTGAACTGATGTTAGGAATGGACTGACTGAGTGCTGATGTCACAGTGTTTGCCTTAAAATCTGGATTTACATGAGCCTGAACAAGAGCACTATGCTGAGCTGGAGTCAGTTGGAGCCAGAGCAGCACTTCGGCCAGGAGCGCTTCACCATCGGGGTTCATTGAGCGAGTGGGTTGGCATTGTCCATCTTTATACAGTCATGATCACCTGCAGTGAAACCAACTGATAAATTATGCAATCTACATAAATCTGTGTTGCCACCTGCAGGTGAAAACTAGATCCTATCAGACCTCTGAAGCTAAGCAGGGAAGGGCATAGTGGTTGCCTTGCTTCTGTGAGCACTATACAGCCACAGGTACCTGACAGTGTTTCCCATCATAGCACTAATCAGATCCTGCCCTGTTTAGCTTCAGAGGTCTGACGGGATCTGGCTTTCCACATGCAAGTATGGCCACATGTCTTTGAACATCTAAACTAAGCCCCGGGGATCCAAGATGGCGGCCTATTCAAATGAATGGCTAGTGCTCAGTAGCCCATGGGACTTTACGGGCGCTGACATATCAGAGGAACTCGCCTATATTTGGGCATCGTCTGGTCCTCCCGGTTCTGCGCAGTGGATGATCTCCCATGATGCGTTGCGCCAAATACGCGTGTGTGGCACTCATGCACGTGCACAGAGGGGCTTTGACCAATCCGCGCTGCTGATCAGAGCAGTGGTAAAGCGGAGTCAGATCGGGAGTTTGTGGCAGTAAAGTGTGGATTTTAAGAAAACCGAAGGATTTAAGAATAAAAGAAGTTCAGGATGACAAGGGACACTAAAATCCCCACAAAATCCGATATTTATGAAAGCTGTAGGTTCTCTGTCAGCTGAGGTTGAGCTGTTTTCATTGAGATCAATGGGACTTTTTTCTGGGTATCCCACGTGAATTTAGTCTGCTGTACCACGGGCCCATGGTTGGGACAGCTATACCCTATTCAGTTATTATTATAGATCCACGATCTGGGCGACAGTGTCTCAGTTGGTAGAGCATTGGCCTTTGAGCCAGAGGGTCGTGGGTTCGAGCCCGACTTTCACCATCAACTCCCACTGTCTGCTGTCGTTGTGTCCTTGGCAAGACACTTAACCTCTGGGAACACCAGCCACAGTGGGGCGGTGCCAAACTGCTGTTGTGTCCTTAGGCAAAACACTTCACCCCCATTGCCTAGAATGAGTCTGGTGTGTGTGTGAATGGTTGGTGGTGGTCGGAGGGGCCGATGGCACATACTGGTTGCCTCGCTTCTGTCAGTGTGCCCCAGGGCAGCTGTGGCTACAGCAGTAGTTTATCACCACCGTGTATAGAGTGAATAATAATGACATGTGAAGCGTCTTTGAGTGTCCAAAAAAGCGCTATATTAAACCGATGCATTATTATTATTATTATTAGTATTAGTATCATCATAACCCTAGCATTAAATGGGAAGGAAAGTAACTCTCATGATTAAAAGCTTTCGTTTTGACCAGAGCGATTATGAACTTCTGTAAATTGTCACACCTACATGATTACTTCAGAGTTTCCTGTCTGGAGAGTTGTAAATGGAGAAAGAACCCCTGCCACAGTGACGCACAACTGTTCAGTTGTTGTAGTACAAACCCCGGTTCATGTGTCTGCCCCCTGGTGGCGTATAACATATATGTCATACAAACAATATACCATATTGTAACATCCCTTCTCTTTGTTTTTTTTTTTTTTGTGCCTTACCAAAAATACATCTTTAAATGTAAACACAAATTATACTTCTGAACATATAGAACAACTCAATTTAAATTGGCACTCTAGTCTTTGTAACGCTGTGGTACCTAGTAGCTCACTTCTGGTCATCACCACATCGTTTCGGTTTTGATTGGCTTGTTGTGTTGGTTCCGTTTGGTTGTCATGTGGGTTTACAGTCTCTATATCCATAGGCACAGGTTGTGTTACTCCATGAGCACGTCTGAGGTGTCTACGGTTCCTCCTGAGAACTGCAGCCGAACCCATTTCAATCTCATATGATCTGAAGTCAATAGGTTTCTTCACCGTTCCCGGCCTCCATTTGGTGTGGGGCTGGAAAGGCTGCACTCTCAGCGAGTCTCCTGGCCTCAAGGACTCCCGATCTCTGGCTGACCGGTCACAATAGGCACACTGACGGAGCTGGTTCTCACGCAGTGCCTGCTCTGCCTTTTTCACTACGGGTTGGAGAAGGCTGGATTTGACTGGGAGAAGCATTCTTGTCCGACGGCTCAACAGCCTCTAAGCTAGGCTGGTGTCCAGGCCTTGTGACGGTGTGTTGCGATGATCCAGGAGAGCCAGGTAAGGATCTTGTCCTGCTGCTTTAGCCTTGTGCAAGAGTCTTTTTGCTGTTTTTACGGCAGATTCTGCATTCCCATTACTCTGTGGGTAACCTGGAGACGAAGTTTTGGGTTCAAATTCCCACAACTGGCTAAATCGCTTAAACTCTTGGGACGAATACTGGGGACCATTATCGGAGACCACCGTGCTTGGAATTCCATGTCTTGCAAAATGTGCTTTTAGTTTCTTTATCACTGTGGTAGATTTTGTGTCAGACAAAAAGTCTATTTCCCAGTAATTGGAATAATAGTCCACTGTTATGTGATAGTCTTTGTTGTCAACGTGGAACAGGTCAACCCCCACCTTTGCCTATGGTCTGTTTGGCATAGCATGTGGGTGGAGCGTTTCCTTCTGTTGCTTATCTTCTACTTCTCTACAAATGTCACAATGTGTATTTATGTGATCACTCATGCCAATCCAGAAAACGCATTCTCTAGCTCTGCACAGACATCCTTCTGCCCCTATATGTGATGAGTGCAGTCGGTTGGTGATGTCCTTCTGGAGAAGCAGGAATTATAGCACGTTCTCCTTTAAACACAATGCCGTCCTGGTGACTGAGTTCTTCTTGAAATGAGAAGTAAGGTCTCATCTCAGGTGCTCTGGCTTTTTTTTCTGAACGCCATCCTGTCTGCATTAATGTAATGACAGTCTGTAGTATTTTGTCTTCTTTTGTAGCTGCTCTGATTTTACTGAGGCTGTAACTGGAAATGGGCAAGTGATTCACCATATTAACAGACTCTTTCAGCCTCTACAGGTGAGCATTCTGGGAGTTATGCTCTGCTCAATGTGTCTGCCAGTAGCATGTCTTTTCCTGGGACATATATTACCTTAAGATCATATTTCTGCATGCGCAGCATCATTCTTTGAAGTCTTTTTGGAGCGCTTAACAGTGGTTTCCTTACTATGGACTCTAACGGCTTGTGGTCCGATTGTACAGTAACTTTGCGACCATATGTGTACTGATGAAACTTTTCTACACTGAAAACCATAGCTAGAAACTCTTTCTCAATTTGGGCATAGCCACGCTCTGTCTGTGTGAGAGTCCTGCTAGCAAAAGCGAAACCTGTGTCTGATGCATCACATTGCACTTCTAGGTCCTCCTCTGAACAGGAGCATTTGTAATAGTCTTTTTTAGTTTTTCAAAAGCACGCTCATGTCGCTCTGTCCAGTCCCATTCTGTGTCTTTGTGTGTTAACAGCCGTAACACTTCACACTGATCTGAAAGGTGCGGGCAAAACGGCTAAATAGTTTACCATACCTAGCAGTCTCTGAACTACTTTCAAATCTGTTGGCCTTGGCATTTGTTCAATGTTCAGGCTCGGACCTTGTCTGGGTCAACTTTTAGACCATTTGCTGTGAGAAGGTGCCCTATGTACGTGCACGCTCTTTGTCTCAGTTTGAACTTCTCAGGATTCAGCTTAATGTTCTTGTCTTTGCATCATTCCAAAAACTGCCTCAACTTAGTGTTGTGATATCGGCCAGCGGCCTCCTGGCTCTCACCTGTGGTGAGTACGTCATCCGCTACGATGTAGATACCCGGGAGTCCATCCAGCGCTTGGGTCCGTTTCATTTGGAAAATCTCGGGTGCTACACTTACACCCATGGGCATTTTGAGCCACCTGTAGCGCCCAAATGGAGTAGAGAAAGTAGTGAGAAAGCTTGACTCCTCTGCCTGCTTCACATGCCAAAATCCACTTTTAACATCACACACCGTGAACACTTTAGCTTAGTGCATGTGCGGGAGTACATCCTCTATTGTCGCTAATGGGAAGTGACTACGCTTGAGCGCCTTGTTTAAGGGTTTTGGATCAATGCACATTCTAGGTTTCCCGTTCTGCTTTTGCACTACCACCATGCTGCTGATCCAATCAGTGCTACAGTCGACTGGTGTGATAATACCTCTACGCTCAAGATCCTGCAGCTCCTCCTTCCGAGGTTTCATCATCGCCCCTGGAACGCGTCTCTTTGGAAGTTGCACTGGTTTCACACTTGTGTCCACTTCCATTTTGTATTCTCCTTCGAGACAGCTGTCTCCTGTGAACACATCTTTATAGTCTTTTTTAATCTGTCCCCTCGACCATTGCTCATTTGTGTTCTTCTCTGCAGTCACAATACTGTCAATAGCCAATATGTTTTCATAGTGCTCCTTAATTAGTTTCATAGCCTCACTAGCTCGTTTACCAATCAGTGGCACTGTGCATTCTGCGTTTACAACTTGAAACTAACTGGTACAGTTTTTGGTTTCTGGGATTTCTCATTTTCACTTTGCATTTACCCAGTGGCCTCACCTTGCTACCATTATACATAATTAGCATAGTGTTCGTCACATCCAGTTTTGTATCAGTGTTTAACAGGTTTACAGGTAACACATTACATGTAGCTCCACAATCTATCTGAAATCTTACAATATCTTTGCCTAAGAGCATACCTGCAAACAGTTTAGTGTCTTTTTCTTTGTCAGAGTCTGCCCTGTCACTTCTCTAACACACAGAATGTCCTCATACTCACTTTCACATTCTGATACATTGTGCACAGATTTTTTCTTCTGAAAGTCTGTGCGTGCTTTGCACATTGCTGCAAAGTGGTTATCTTTACCACACTTTTTACACTTCTTGCCAAATGCTGGACATCTGTTTATTCCTCTCATGAGTTCTGCCGCAGAACTTGTACTCTCGAAACTCCTTGCACAACGTGGACTTCCTCGGCTGTGGGACCCGCGACAACTCCGCTGCTCTGCAGAGCTGGATGCAACTGTCTTTAGACAGGGCTCTTTCCCTCAAGTCTCTCTCGCATGTTGGCGCTGTTAATACCACACACATCCTGAATAGGGGAGTCTCTCAAAGTGCCAAAATTACACGTTTTGGTAAGTAGTTTGAGTTCCGTGATATAGCCGAATAGATTCACCGGAGCCTTGATTTCTAGTGAAGAATTTATATTTCTCAACAGTTTCATTCACTGTTGGGCTGCAATGTTGATCAAACTTACTGATCATGTCCTTCACCTTCCAGTCAGCCTCTACTGTGTCTCCCATTAACGTATCCAGCAGCTCCCTGCCACTTTCTCCGACTAGATAACTGAAGACCTTCACTCGCCTTTTCTCGTCATCTTTGGCAACAGTTAAATCAACATAAAGTTGAAACTCGTTCCTTCATGTCTTCCATGTTTTAGACAGGTTATCAGAGTCCAGACACAATGTCTGTGGAGCTTTTAGTCCGTCATTGTTACTAGCTTGTCTTGCGATGCTAATCACTCTGAACGGTTCCTACTTTACCGTCTCCTCCAGTGCCTCCGCAGCAATTTCAAAAATCTCTCATAAAATCTGGGCAAAGTTCATTACCGCTGCCACCATGTTAAAGTGTGTTTGTAACAATAAAACATGTCCAGCTGCTTTGCTCTGGCCCAACTGGGTCGGCATTTATTGAAGTACTGCATTCAAGTGTTTAGTCAACTACAACTTCAAAGTAAAATCAGCTTAATCAACTTCTGAAAGTGAGTTCAAGTGACTCACAACAGACAGTTCCAGTTCTGTCAATTTCATTGTCAGTGAATGCAAAAAACTCAGTAAGGTGAACAATTTTGAGTTGTTGTTTTTATAGTGCACCGAGTCAGAGTGAGGTCAACTTATCTGCGCATCCTCATTTCAACCCATGAGACCCATGTAGTTCGCTGCACTTCACACATGAGTCTGGTACTGAGCCATAGTGGTTGGATTTCAGAAGGCAGGGCCTTGTAAAAAAAATCCTTGTATGTGATTGGATAGACCACTTGTCCGTTATCTTGAATGAAGTCTGCTTTCAACCACTCACATCGAAGCACACGGCTCCCATAGGTTGCCAAATCCCAGCAAGATTTTCCAACCCAAAATCCATGAGAATACCCCAAAAAAAAAAAAAACACTGAATGATTTTTTGGCTAAAAACGTATTTTAATCAACTTGGGCTATCATGATTCTACAAGTCTCTTGGAAAAAAATATGCGGGAACCACCAAACCTGGCAACCCTGCTGCATAGTGTGTAAACCATAGACTGTATATATTAATGGACAGAGTCACGTCTATCTCCGCCGTTCTAACTAATGGGCCAAAAAATGTGCTCTACTGGAGCTATCCAAAAGGGCCGCGAGTGGTCCCGCCCACAAGAAAATGGTTAAAAAACGCATCTGCGCATGCGTCAGCCGCCGCAACTCCATTCATTTGAACGAGAGACTTCAAAAATTGACAGCAAGTAAACTAGAGTGGACCAAAAAAATCCACCCCCCTCAGCATTGACACACATGTGGAACGGAGCTTTGGGCCAAGAGACAGCTTTTGGTCCATCCTGTAAAGACGTTTTCGAGAGGTCTGCCAATGCTATATGTTAGCATTGGCTAATTCTTCTTCTGGGTCCACCCCCATCGGCCCGGGGTGGTATTGCAGCATGTCAGCGCACGTCATTTTGGCCACTTTTGAGCTGGGACCCGCCCCCACTGGTGTAAACAGGAACACTGAACCAGTGCTTCAACCAAACTTTACAGGAACATTTGACTCTTAAAACACACATATATCAACATAGAACCATCAACATCTCGCCTCAAATTGCATTAAAAGTGACATCCGTGTCTTAATTTGATCGTGTTTACTCTTTTAAAAAGATTCGCGGACTTTACGTCCGCCATCTTGGATTCCTCTCGCTGCTGCATGAGAGAAGCTTGAGAAGGCAGTGCAAACCCCACGTAACACCGGCAATCCTGATTGGTCGATTAAAATAATCTGGGGAAGGCGTTCGCTCGATACCGCGTCGATACCGCGTCGATACCAGACCCATGTGGTTCAGCCAAACGCCTCTGGTGGAGCATGGCGGAACTACAAGGGTCTGGCAGAGCCAGGCTAGGGGACGGTAACCTGAACTTTAAAAAGTGAGTTTCTACAGACTTGAAAGTTCCAGTAAACTTAGTTGAGAGAACTTAATAATTGTAGTTCTTTAAAACGTAAAGAATTAAGTTGATGCCTCAAAAGTCGCGTGCAGCCAGCTACCTTGAAATTTTGAGTTGAACTAACTTTGTCTTTTTTACAGTTTGGGAATCTTAGAATGTAGTAGCAGTAGTTTTGTTTCTTTGGTCGTCATCAACATTAGATCTTAGGTCACTTGTTCTCAAGGATCTTATACATCTTAAAATCAGAAGATAAAAATCTAAAATATATTGTATATCAAGAAAGGGGTTTAGAATGAAGTCAAGATTTATCCTGCCAAACTCTTTGAACAAACCCTCATTCATCCCTCAGTGGAAATTCCAATATCATAGTTCCATATTAAAGCAGAATAGAAGGAGGAAATCAGAGGTTGGACATATCAAACAGATCTATTATTAAAGTAGCAATATATAGGATTTTCATGTCAAGTCATCCTTAAATGGGCCTAATCTGTCAAAAGTCATTAATAAACCTGCTCTTTTCCAATACTTTAACTGATAACAGTAATTCAGCCGGGATATTTGAATTTCAATATTAGTTTTACAGTAAATCTTGTTATTGTTTTCATTTTGATGTCCCGCCCTCCACCGTTTTACCAAGCAGAAAGTCTGTGATCCGGGTTTCCAGAACTCACTGTGTCAAGCTAATCTCACTGGTAAAAAAGGTCTTGTTATGATTCTAAAATCATTTATTACAAAACAAGGAACAAAACAGAAAGGTGTTGGTTATAGATTTGTTGTTGACAAAACTCTTGTCTGTTCAGATATTATGGTCCCAGCAGGATTTGTCTGCATACCTGCTCTTTTCCAATACTTTAAAGGGGCGTTCACACTGGAGTAAACAGCCGAGGGGCCCGGCATCACTTGGCGCGCGTCAAAAGCTTCAAAACTTGCGACTTTTGAAGCTTTTGACGCGCGCCAAGTGAAGCTAAGCAGGGAAGGTTGCCTTGCTTCTGTGAGCATTATATAGAAACAGGTGCAGAGTTGTTTAATCTGCTTATACCACGGTCCCGTGAATTTAAAGAGCGACTTAACACCTGTGCCCAGCCTGACTCCGCCCTCATGAACATTTGAACCAAGGGATAAGAAGGGGGGCTTAGAGTTGGGTGTGGTCTGGGCTGTGATTGACAGCTCACTTGTCACACGAAGAATAAAAAAATAGACAGTTGTCATTGCTGCTTAAAGCAATAGTTGTTTACACACTGAAATAATTGTAGACACACCTACAACCGTCTACACACCTGAACCTAAGTCACAGAATTATCTCAGCAGCAGTGGTTGTCAACTCATGTAATTTAATTATAATCCACTAGATGTCGCCAGAATACTCCAACCTGCAGCTGGGGCGTGTGAGAGTTGAATAGGTTTGTATCACTGGCGCAGACAGACGCACGCGCAGATGTTTGTAGGCTCAAAATTTAGATTTTATCTAATTTGCACTAAAATGTCAAAAAAAATGACCAGGATATGTAGAGAGCACTACAATAAAAATATTTACGCAGCTTATGAGTAAAAAAAAAAGTATATTTGGTGTTTAGTCGCTCTTTAAGTGTGTAACTAATATGTATTGACTTTACTGAACTGCCCAAATATGCTTAAGTATAAGGATTATTTAACAAGTCTGAAAACAAAACTCTTTCCTTAGCAACCGTTGTAAAGAGAAATGGGAACTACTTTTATTAACACGCAGACAAAACATTAACATTTACACAGCTCCATTGCTTTTGTTGTTCTTCTTCCTCATAGGTTTTGTTATATCAAAAATGTTTTTAAATTACCTCAAAATCCATGTTATCCGGCGCTATTTGTCGCTACGGCTTGTCTCCTAATTGACAGTTTGTTTGCTCCAGCTGTTACAGTTACTATGGCAACAACCGTGAAGTGATATAGAGCATGATTTTAAACATACCGGACTGTTGCTGTAGATGTGTATGTGGATGTGTTTTCAGTGGGACCTCCTCCACAGACCACCTCAGCCCCCTCCTCCTCTCTCCGCTGTCTTCAGGCCGCTCTGATCGGTTCTCTGTGTGTGATCCTGGTCAGCACCGTGGCCCTCGTCTACTGTGAGTCCACGTCACTGGTTCCTGGCTCTAAAACAGTTTGGTTCCATCTCTTAGTTAGTTACTGAGTTTGTCATGGTGTGGACTTCCTGTTCATTTATCTGCTTTTATTTTGATTGGTGTGAGTTTCACTTCCTGTCCGTCTTGTTGATTGTTTGCCCCGCCCTGATGTGCTACACTTGTGTCTACCTGTGTGTATTTAGACCCTGTTGTCACTCCCGTATTCGTCACGGAAACCGGATTCGTCCGGAAGTTCAGTTTGATCCAATGAGCATACGCAGCAGTAGATTACGTCACGGAATCTGGACGGAAGCGGAAGTAAATATAAAAAACTACCTATTCATGCCTAAACTTAACCAGCCATTCCCATAAAATAACCCCAACCCAGCCTTAACCCTAAACTTAACCATCTTACTCAGACGCCTAAACTTAACCAGTCACCACTTAAGGACATATTAAACTTTTTGACATGCGCAAACTGAACTTCCGGACGAATCCGGTTTCCGGGGAATCCGGGAGTTACACCTTTTCCTCTGTCGTCTTGTTGTCGGTCCATTTTTGTTTTCCCCCATTGTATTGTTCCTGGTTTCAGTTTCAACTTTTTGTGGCATTTATTATATTATATTGTTTTTGCTGTTCTGCTTTTTGGTCCTTCCTTGTTTACCCCTGACAGAGTTAGACACTTTTAGAATGTACTTGGGTGTTTGTACGGAAGGATGTGTTTCTGCTGCTGGACACTCTCTATCTATTCTTTCTATCTCTATCAATCTCTATCTGTCTATTCCTATCTTTATCTATCTCTATCGAACTCTATCTACTGTGTATCTACCTTTATTTATATATATCTATCTATCTATCTATATTTCTATCTATCTCTCTATCTATATTTCCATCTTCTAGCCATCTATATCTCTTTCTATCTATATATCTATCTATCTGGGCTGGGCGATATGGTAGAAAAGTAAAATCTCAATTTCATTTCCTAATTTGGACGATTTCGATCTTACATATATTTTCATTACCGTCACCAAAGACAGACTTAAATAATATCTTTTGATCTTTCCGCTCAATATTCAAGTTTCAAAACTGTTTTTGATTTGTTTCCCCCAATATGCAAAAGTATTGTACAGACTGTGCTGATTGTGCAAGTATAATTCATCTGCTGTGGGAACTCTCAAAATATCCTCTATTCGATTTCACGATTTTCACATTTTTCAAAAATTTGATTTTTTCAAAAGCCGATTAATTTCCTAAATTTGATGTATTGCCCAGCCCTACTATCTATATATCAATATCTCTATCTATATCTATCTACAGTATCTATATCTCTATCTACCTATCAACCTACCTATCTCTATCTAATCTTGGTGATGTTCCAGTGTCGGTGTGGGGGTCCGGTCAGCGTGTGCAGGTGCAGAATCTGTCCTCAGAGATGTCCCGGCTGCAGGAAGACAGTGCGAGGCTCATGGGGTTAAAGGCAGAGCTCCAGAATCAAAGCCACATCCTGAAACGAGACATGGAAACACTCAACTGGACGCTGCAGGTCATCCTGAGTTTCAGAGAGTTCCCCGTCAGCGTTTTCTGCCCAGACAAACGTAAGAGCCATAGACTGTGTAAAGAGCCACCAGCTCATTGAAGCGCAATAGGGAAATGCTCATGGATGAAGTTTGACTCCATCTCGTTCTGGCTTACATTGAAAAGTAAACTCCTCTCTGTAATCGTTTGTGTCACACTCACCATTTTTTAAATTGGTTTTGTCTTAATATGAGCCATATAATCAGCATCTACAGCTAGTTATGTTAGTTAAGAAACATTGCTACTACTTATTTGTATATATTGTGTGTGATCCCTGTGTGCTCTTACTAGTGTCCTATATGTGCGATGCTACATCGAAATTTCCCCACTGTGGGACGAATAAAGGAATTCTTATCTTATTCTTATATTATCTTAATGATTGACCAATCAGGTGCCTTGATTTGCGGGGAAACTCCTGTTTGCCTTAACAATCGCCTAAGCAACAAGTCTGTCCTTGATCCAGCGCAAAGCTAACGATGTGGAAAAATAATTGGCTCCAGCTAGCTTATGTCAAAATCACATTTAGGCTAACACTATGGTGATGTCCGACTTTTGAACGATATTCTACTTTTCCGATTTTCACCTTTTTCCTGAGGGGTACAGCAAGGCTCAATACAGGAACCATTATTATTTGCATAAATGAAATATGCAAAATAGCTTGACTCCACACACAGAGAGGTCATTGTCTGTTTCGGTGGTTGTGTGAAGCCTCTTCACAGCACCTCTGGGGTGATCTTAAAGCGTGCAAGGCAGCTCAGGAATCAGTTTGAACTTTTTTTTGCCATGAATGGGCAACTTTACCATCAGAGAGGAATCAAAGAGACCAGAGAGATACCAGAGATATGTTATGAGCGCTAAAACTAGTGCAGGTTGTACACTAATGTCACTTCTTCATTTCTTTCAGAGTGCAGCCCGTGTCTGAATGGATGGAAACTCTTTGAAAACAGCTGTTATCTGTTTTATGAGATCGACATTTTTAAAACCTGGGAGAAGAGCCAGGCGTTCTGCAGAGACAGGAGCTCCATCTCTGAGCTGGTGATAGTGGACTCTCTACAGGAGCAGGTATGTTCAAACTCTTAACCCCGACCCGGACTTTGAACCATAGGCCGAGTGTGACGTCCCCATGAGGTCATAAAAGGGGCAGACATGTTACAAAAGCCCAATTCGCACAGGATTAGTTTTACCTGTGGACCGCTGCGACCTCCTGCGAGAATTGTCTCTCTTCTTGAATCTCTTATTGTTCCCGTGGATTGGTTTCCATGCTCTGCGTTATGGGCATGGATCTATTATAATAACTGGATAGGTATTACTTGGAGCTGAAGGATCCACATGCTCGGGGGATTCTCGCGGTACTGCAGACTAAACGTGACTAAATTCACGTGGGCTACCCAGAAATGTTCCCCATTGAACTCAATGTAAACTAAAACAGCTCAACCTCAGCTGACAGAGAACCTACAGCGTTCATAAAGGTCGGATTTTGTGGGGATTTTAGTGTCCCTTTTCATCCTGAACTTTTTTTCTTCATATGATGCCCAAATATAGTGAGCACAAACCATTCTTTTGAATACAACGCCATCTTGGATCGCCGGGGCTTGGTTATGATTTGCTGGTAAAAAGTAGTAAAAACTGCTGACCTACATTGTTGAAGCTGGGAAGCGATATGAAAAGGTGCAAGATAGAGGATGGATATAGTATATACAGTAGTTTCACTTCTTGGTACTTCTCCACTCTTTGTTCTCGCTTCTCAGCTCAAAGATCCTGGGTTTTCAGGGAGTTTCAGTTGCAGTTTGACCCAGTGTCTGCTTGGTTTCCTTCAGGCGCTACGGTTTCCTTTACCTACCTCTCCCTTGAAAAAGAGATTCTGCAATCTCAGTTCAAACTGTCAGAAGTTGAAAGAGTCTGAAGTTTAAAACCAATATTTGAAAAATATAAAGATCAAAGTTATGTTGATGTAAAATCTAGATAATGATACTAATACAAATTAAAAGTGTTTAAATCTATTCAATTCACTTTTTACAACTATTCGAACAATGGCATGTACAAATGCAAGGCCGATCTTTGACTCCCTCTACTGGTTGTATGACGCCATAATTATAGACGTTTTCATTGTAAAACAAATGTTGTGTTTGTTACTGGGTGAGCCCGTCCCTGAGCACGTTGTCCCACGGAGCGCATCTGAAGTTGCGCGCGCCCGATGCCATGGTGGCTGCGCGCCGCGGCCAACCCATTCATTGACTACTGGTAGTAAGGATTGTGGTTGTGACATGTAGCGTGCGGTAACGCATCTTCAGGGTGCACACTTGGGGCAGTTACATCTAGTTACGTCTCCGTGGTGCGTTTTGGCAAACCCGGACACAAGGAGCCCTAGGATTAAATGCACCTGTCTGTGGGTCATGTGGACCACAGCTCATTTGCACTCTTTGTAGTGTGTAGCTCAATGTATTTTATGATAAATGTGTCAATGTAATCATTAACCTAGGGAAATACTCATGTATTGTAGATATGATGTAATATTAGGATAATCGATTTGTAATGTGGGAGGGGCCAGCAGGTTACAAAGGGTGTGCCTCTGTAATGTGTGACTCATTACAGAGAAGGTAATGTAAGTAAGTAATCTTTATTACTATTTTTTTGGGCACTTGTCTCTCACTCCACACAGAGATGGGAGCAGGGTCGCCGAACAGGAGACGTATGCCAGACCTATTGTACATATTTTTAGTGGTAGGGGAAACTGGAAAACCCGGAGGAAACCTACACGGGGAGAACATGCAAACTCCACTCAGAAAGGCTCTGGTCCATCCGGGATTCAAACCCAGGACCTTCTTGCTGAGAGGCGAGAGTGCTATCCACTCAACCACCGTGCCGCTCAGACTGCAGGAGCTTGAGCAGTAAGGGCAGGCCCCTTTTGTGGCACCGGCACCTGCCACAGCTGATTAGTGGCATGTACACAACAAATGGCGTTTAAAACGGCATGTGGACAACAAGTCGCGTTTAAAACGGCTTGTGGACAACAAGTGGCGTTTAAAACGGCCTGTGGGGAATAAATGGCGTGTAAAGCGGCACGTGGACAACAAATGGCGTTTAAAACGGCATGTGGACAACAAGTGGCGTTTAAAACGGCATGTGGGGAATAAATGGCGTGTAAAGCGGCATGTGGGGAATAAATGGCGTTTAAAACGGCATGTGGGCAACAAATACAGTTGAAAGCAGCCTGTACAAAAGACAACAAGCAGCATTAGTGGAGCTAGTGGTACAGTGGCTCAGATGGAAAAGCACAGGTCTACGGTGTTGATGGTTGCTAGTTCAAATCCCCAGTGACTACCGATGACATTTGCTGATGTTGGGTCCTTGGGCCTAACACTTCATGAAGAATGTCAGAAGTGCCATAAATTGTTTGAAAAATTTTGTTTGAGTAATAATAATATGTTATTGCATACATTTGTTGAAAGACTTAATTTCATGTATTATATATAGTTTAAATGCCACAGGAGCTGCCTCATCCAGTGGCGCACTTGGTTTATAACTGCCATTCATGCGTATACCTAGTTCAAATCCAGGACACGTCGTTATTTTTTTTTTGTCAGATTAAATACAAATTTAATATGTATGACATTATATATATATATATATATATATATATATATATATATATATATATATATATATATATATTTAATAAAAAATAATAAAAAATCATTTTATTTCTCTCTCTTCTTTAATAAAACCACATCAGAAACATGGAACATTAAGAAAGAGCATTAATACATATATATATTTTTATAAAAGAATGCAAAGTATAAGACACAGCTTAAACGGTCCAAGAACAGAAATGAAGATTTTAACAATATAGAGATGAAATCTCATGTTCCAATTACACAACTTTCTGCTTCCATCACTCTTCACCATCTTTGGTTGGCTCCATTCTTGATGAAATGTCCTAAAACAACAATAGAATCTTTCGTTTTTTTCTTTGCCAAAACACAAAATAAGTGGCGCAGTCATTAAACATTCGTCTATAGTGCGTAAGATTGGCAGATCGAATCAAAGTACCGGTTTTTTTTAATGGCACTTATATAAAAACTGTATATATATATATATAAAGATATATATAGATATTTATAGATATATAAATGTATAAAGAAATAACCGTCATAAAAAAGTTTTTGATCTTGGCTGGATTTGAATCTGCAAACTCTTGCATGATTGGCAGACACACACCAGCTATACCACTCACCAGGTGGTTTTAAGTAAAATTGTGTCTTGAGTGTTTTACACATCATTTAGTTTTACCCTAACGATGATGCAATATTAATCCTAATGCAAGATTACTATTGCAACAACACATAGCCATATGTATGAAATATATATTCATACATATTCAATTTGTATTTCATCTGACAACAAAAAAATAAAGACCAATATACACTTCTTCAGAATCTAAACCACATACAATACATGAAATTAAGTCTTTCAACAAATTTTAAATTTATTTTATTATAACTCAAACTACATTTTTCAAACAACTTATGGCACTTCTGACATTCTCCATGAAGTGTTATGCCCAAGGACCCAACATCAGCAAACGTCATTGGTAGTCACTGGGGATTTGAACTAGCAACCATCAACACCGTAGACCTGTGCTTTTCTATCTGAGCCACTGGACCACTATCTCTAATACTGCTGCTTGTTGTCTTTTGTACACGCTGTTTTCAACAGTTTTTGTTTCAAACGCCATTTATTGCCCACATGCCGTATTAAACGCCATTTATTGTCCACATTCCGTTTTAAACGCCATTTATTGTCCACATGCCGTTTTAAACACCATTTATTGCCCACATGCCGTTTTAAACGCCACTTGTTGTCCACATGCCGTTTTAAACGGCATTTGTTCCCCACATGCCGTTTTAAACGCCACTTGTTGTCCACATGCCGTTTTAAACGCCACTTGTTGTCCACATGCCGTTTTAAACGGCATTTGTTGTCCACATGCCGCTTTACACGCCATTTATTCCCCACATGCCGTTTTAAACGCCACTTGTTGTCCACATGTCGTTTTAAACGCCACTTGTTGTCCACATGCCGCTTTAAACGCCATTTGTTGTGTACATGCCACTGATCAGCTGTGGCAGGTGCCGGTGCCACAAAAGGAGCCTGCCCTTTCTCAGCTTGAGTGGAAAGTAAGGGAAAAGAGACTTATTGCAGAAGTCGCGTATATTTTATTTGTAAATATCCTTTTCGCCTGAAGACTGTTCACTGTGCTCCATGAATACGTTTTTTGTAATTTCCCACTGTTTTTCTACTGAGAGTTTTTAATTAAAAACTTCTGAAAACGCCCTTTCCGACCCAGCCATGTGTTCTGTAAAAAGAACCCTCACAGTGATGTTGTCAGCATGCTGTTTCCCTAAAAACCACGAGCTCCAGCCCCCTTCAGTTCAACCAGATCACAACGTGACCCCAGTCCTCCAGAGCAGAGTGAACCCCAAGTTTACAATCTGAACTCATGGACCATTGTAGTTTTTGCAGTCGTTTTTTGTTTTAAATGCAGTGTTGTGATTGACAGGAGTTCCTTCATAAGCATATCCAGTTTTACTACGATAAGTTCCATGGGTACTGGATGGGTCTGTCCCAGCAGAAGAACCTGAGCTGGGTCTGGGAGGACGGCCGCCAGGACACTCTGGGGTGAGTCTGTTCGTGGTCCTCTCCAGCGGTGATGCCAGATTTTAGTTGATGGTGGATGCAGAAGTGTACATGTGTGTGTGGACTGCCCTACATGTCCCATAATTGTGTGGTTGGAACATTGTTGCAAATCAACCTATATGTCTAATATTTACGGTAGGGCTGTCAAAATTATCGTGTTAACGCACGTTATTTAATTTGTTCCATTAATCGCGTTAAAATAATGAACGCAATTAACGCATGCCCATGTATCCCATAATAACACTCAGAATGCCGCGGACACGTGTGTGTGAGTTGGCAACAGAGCAGGTCTCTGGGAATTAAAGTTTAAACAAAATACACGCGTTTCCTCCTGTATGAACACTGCACGCTCTGGACAGCGGTTCCTCCAGCGGCTGTGATCACGGCGAACGGCGCCGCGTAACGTGATCATATCCAAGACCACGCTCAGAACTATTCTCTGATTGTAGTGTGCGTGTCTTTGCGTAACGGGTGCACACACAAAATACAGCGCAGAAGCTGGACTACGGAGTCTCCTCCGTGTCTTCTCCCGACGCGCACTCGCTAAATTAAAGCTGGGGTACCTTATTTTCCCTTCCACTACCAGTTCATGACAGATTTAATGACATTCTGCATTTCAGACTGTTTGAAATGTCTCTCATCTGTAACAAACAATAGTTTTGGTCTGACAGAATGTTAATAATGTTAAAGCCATTTTATGTGGATTTATTGTTATCATAAACAAATACAGAACATATGTACACTGACATTTATCTGTCCATTCAAACAACCATTTACATAAAAATATGGCATAATTTTGTCGATAGTTTGAAATGCAATTAATTACGATTAATTAATTTTAAAGATGTAATTAACTCGATTAAATTTTTTAATCATTTGACAGCCCTAATTTACGGGCAAGGGTCTATGGGCAAGATTCTCAAAGGCTGCAGCAGTATAAAATTCCACATTTTACTAGAGATGCTTTATACTTTGACTCGTTCTATGTTATTCCACAAATGAAGTGCTCATTGTCCAGCCCGTCTATCCGCCTGGACTTTTCTGGACAACCACCTTAGCAATCTGTCAGCCCCTGTTACGGTGCAAAGCAAACACTGCCAAAGAAGTGCCCATGAAAGCAAACTGGCTGTAGCTAGCTTATTTTCAAATTGGCTTCTATGGATTGTCCCTCTCCTTGGTGCTTGATTTTTAATTGATATGAACTTATTTATAATACTTTACCTTTCATTTGGGCCAGGTTCTGGATGAAGATGGACTTTGGAAAGTATGGACCCCGAGGTCTGCTGATCCCACAGCAGAACGTGACTGAGAGCTGGGATCCTGCAGAGGGCCAAATGCTGAACAAATTCATCTGTGAAAGCAAAGCCCTCATGATAAACTAAGCTACTACTGCGCGCGCTGCTACTTAAACTGCTGCTACTATTGCGACTGCTGCTACTGCTACTACTACTGCTGCTGCTGCTACTTCTACTATCACTGCTGCTACACATACAGATACAGATACAACAACCACTACTACTACTACTTTTTCTTATTTTTTATCCTTGCTTGGAGTTTTTGAGTGAGAAGAAAGCTATGCCTCATGGTTGATGGTCTTATTGTCAGAGAATCTTCCTTGCTTCCCTGTGCAGGTGGCCTTATAGGTGCAAGCTCCGGGGTATAACGCAGAGGGAGGGGAGCGACCCGGGGTAGATAGTATTGTCTAAAAAAAACCTTTAGCGTGTGTCAGAATTTGATGCAGAAAACAAGACGAAGATTTCCAAGTTAAGTTATCTGTATTTAATTTATCTTTACAATCAGATACAGAAATTCAAAAAGCGCCTATCCTAACTATTTCTGCTCTCTTCCCTATGGGCTCACCCTATCTGACTGAACTAAAACATCAGGCAAAATCATATGAGTAATAATGTGCAGAAGGGGCGTGTCGTATCAGCCAGTTCCTGGTCCCGGTCTGGACTCTGCATCAGGTCTGGCCTTTGTCTGGTTTCCCCCTCCGCATCTCTCCATTCCACACCTAAAAAGGGATTCACACTTCCAACCTATAGATTTATTCCTTCCTTGAGATAAGGAAGAAATCTCAAGGCTGCTGTCACTGGTCTGGCATCAATCTCCTCCTCTAAAGAACTCCCTTATTAGTCCAACAGCCCGCTTCATAAAGAACAAACCTATGTGCAGAAACCTCAAACAACACTAACAACATAGTGTAAAAGTATTAGTACATGAAATCACTGAAAATATAGACCACGTGTGCAGCATTTCTGAGATATGCATCAATAGCCTGAGGACTGCACGACTTGGCCTCTTAAAAAGTGGCTTTACGTGCTAAAAAAAGCTCCTTTGAATGGCTTGGGAATGTTTTCTTTGTCAGATCTACCTGGTCGATTAATGACATATTTTGGGCTTTTGTGTCTTCTTTGTTTTGTTTTATCCATTGTTTCCTTTGTCCGCCTACTACTACTGCTAGCACCAAACTACTACTTCTGTTTCTACTTCTCCTGCTATTACTGCTGCTCTTTTGCTCCATAGAAACTTCCTGTTGATTAATTGTACAAGTATTTATTGTATTTTATTTTGTGATTGTTTTCAGTTTAAATCATGCAGAGTGGTAAACATGCGGTGTACATGACATCATCTTTAAACAGAATCAAGAGTTTGATTGTGGCTTTCATTGTTTTAAAAATGTAAACGCATTATGCAATCAGAAGGCACAATTTCTGTCACAGTGTAACATGTTTTAAAACAGAAGCAGAAGGGCATGTGTTTGACTATTTATGACCAAAAACAGCACTGGTTTTCCGTTCAATAAAACTGAATTGTGCGTAACTTTTTGGATGGACTTAGACAGACTGTTCCTCATGAGGACTGTCTGTGTGTTTAACCCTGTGTAAAATTATATGAAATATGTCCCACAGACACTGCAGCACTGATAACAATGTCAAAGGATCTTGTGGAGTGCAGCCCTCTACCTGATTCAGGGCTCCCGAGGGCCCCCGAGGTCCTGTGTTTGTGTGTCTACGACATGTTTGTTATACTCCTGGAGCTGACATGTAAAGACACACTGTCTCCTAGAAAGAATCTTCTGGGCCCTGACTCTGCAGTACCACAGTTAAACCACAAGGAAGTCTGCACAAAGACAGACACATCCAGTTTTTACAACATTTCCAGTGTGGTCTCAGCTCATCTCAATGCCATGCTCCATATCTATCACCTGAGAGAGAGACCAGACAGAGACCAGAGAGAGACTTGAGATAGAAACCGGAGAGAGACCAGGGAGAGAGATTGAAGAGAGAACACAGAGAGAGACCTGACACAACTGCGTATTCGTCATCACAAGAAATGCAATGATAAAAACACATAGAGCATTGGTCCATAAGGGGCAGATGACCAATCGCCATAAATGTCAATAAAGTCCATAATTGTCAAAGTCTCAGCTCATCTCGATGCCGTGCTCCATGTCCATCACAGGTCTTTTCTCCGGAGCGCAGTCGCGGCTGCCCTCCACGTACCTCTGCAGCGTGCTGTAGTACTGCTCGCTGCGTGTGAAGGTGTACAGCTCGGAGATCTGTTCCCAGGCGCGGTGGTTTGGGAACGGGAAGGGGGCCGGGTCCTTGTTTTCGAAGAAGCTAATCAGGTTTCTCTCTGCGAGTTTGTTGGCGTAGTCCAGGGCGAAGCCGTCGAAGCGCTCCTTCTCCTTCTCCACGTAGCGCTTCCAGAAGGTGAGCTGCAGGTAGCTCACTTTGGAGCGGCAGTTGGTGTAGCACGTGCCACAGAGGCCCACGGTGGCAGATATGATGATGATGCACCAGCCCAGGATCTGAGGACGCAACAAACTTTACTGTTTCAGGAGTCACAGCCTGTACTGGAGATGGACAATACTAAACCTATAGGTAACCAGTGAGAGACCAGAGATTGGGACCAGAGAGAGACCAGAGAGACATGAAAGACCAGAGAGAGACAAGAGAGAAAGAGACCAGAGAGAGGGGCCAGAGAAAGACCAGATAAATACCACAGAGAGAGACCAAAGAGAGACCACAGAGACACCTGAGAAAGAGATCAGAGAGAGATTAGAGGGAGACCAGAAAGAGACCAGAGAGAGACCAAAGGGAATCGCATTATAACGAATTACGGAAAGTTTCTCAGACACGTACACAGACACTTTCCAACACATTATTTACAAGGACAACTTTATAAAGGAAAGAACAGCACGTGCAACAGCTCAAACTCAGCTCATTTGCTTGTTACACTGTCATCATGGAAAATATTATCTCTCCTGTGACTTGTGTGTAGTTTAATAACCTTCTTCACCTTCACATGTGAGCAGCGGGATAGAAAACAGTTTGTATTTATTGTGTTCACAAAAAGACTATAGGTCGCAAGGCTGTCGAGTCATTGACACACCAGGCCATGTCCTCAGAGTGAGAGGAAGAGGAGACCTAGTGTCTGCGACAGAGACTGACCTCATGCCAAGAATTTTTCTGCTCAGACTGAAGAAAGACACATTTGTGAAACGTGAGTCAGAGATCAGCTGCTGAAGCTGCATCAACAACAACAGGACGGAGGTCTGTGGAACCGGCTCCAACAAGGATCCATGTGTAGAAGAGTTTGTTTTGTATATGGTAAAAAAATAATAATAAAAATAATCTGGGCATGGATTAGGAACGACTCATAATTACAATCAAATACAGAGAGAGACCAGAGTGGTAGACGAGAGAGAGACCAGAGAGAGAGAGAAATACCAGAGAGATAGAGAGAGACCAGAGTACTAGACCAGACAGAGAAAGATAGATAGATAGATAGAGTAATTATAAGATAAGTATTATAAGTAATAGCAAGATAAATGATTACTATTGTCAGCTTTTTAGAATTATGCTACTGGACACCTGAATTTCTCCTACAGGGATCAAAAAAGTATCAATCTGTCTAATTTGAACTTTGAAGAAAATCCGATTATTTGTTTCAGCTCAAGAAATATTTACAATATTTACTTTACAGTTTTTCTTAGTCGCTTTGGTGCATTTTTCACATCACTCTTCACATTTGCACAACTGTTGGTGCATTTCTCAGAACAATTAGTTCGAACTGCAAAACCTCGTGGATAACATGCAAAAGTTATCCACGAGGATGTCTGTGTGGTTTGGTAACATCACAGATAAAGAAAAGAGAGCTTTAAACAAGGTGCTCCGCTCTGCAAAGAGGACCGTGGGCTGTGAGCTTCCTGTTCTGGAGGTTCTTTATAAATCCAGACTTTTAAACAAAGCTCTTAGGATTGTTAATGACTCTTCTGGCCACCCTGGAAAAGCCATGTTCCAGCTTCTTCCCTCTGGCAGAAGATATCGTTCTCTGAGACATCTCGTTACGCTAACAGTTTTTATCCAAAAGCTGTTATCAGTGTGAACAGAGCACTTTAATGATTTGCACTTGTTTTGAAACTGTTTTAGTCGATCGATTTCACAGTGACATTTGTTTACTGTTTTATTTGTTTTATTTCTGTCTTTTAATGTTGTTTTATGTCTGTATTTGTCTGTGCACACTGGAGACTTTTTGCTAATGTATTCCAATGTGGGTTTTTTTACTGCAAATGGCAAATAAACTGAATCTGAATCTGAAGTGCATCACTTTATCAAAATGAAAAGTTTATTCCTCAAAAGCAAGTCTTCAGGTCAATGAAACTGTCTGTGTCACCAAAATAATATGTCCTGACAACATTGAGTATGAACAACACAGTCACATGACTTAGTCATGTTTTCATTGTGAAAGTTTAATCTCTGTGTTTTCAATGTAAACAAGTCAGACTATGAGTACACTATACATGACCTATACAGTCATTTACAGTAAAAACTACAGTAAAGTTACACAAAGACTGAAATATATGTATGTATGTACTGTATGTATGTATGTATGTGTATATCTATGTATGTATGTATGTATGTATGTGTGTATGTATGTATGTATGTGTGTATCTATGTATGTATGTATGTATGTGTGTATCTATGTACTGTATGTATGTATGTGTGTATCTATGTATGTATGTATCTATGTGTGTATGTATGTATGTGTGTGTGTATCTATGTATGTATGTATCTGTGTGTGTATGTATGTGTGTATGTATGTATGTATGTATGTATGTATGTATGTGTGTATCTATGTACTGTATGTATGTATGTGTGTATCTATGTGTGTATGTATGTATGTATGTATCTATGTATGTATGTATCTATGTGTGTACTGTATGTATGTATGTATCTATGTATGTATGTGTGTATCTATGTATGTATGTATCTATGTGTGTATGTATGTATGTACTGTATGTATGTATGTGTGTATCTATGTGTGTATCTATGTGTGTATGTATGTATGTGTGTGTGTATCTATGTATGTATGTATCTGTGTGTGTATGTATGTGTGTATGTATGTATGTATGTATGTATGTATGTGTGTATCTATGTACTGTATGTATGTATGTGTGTATCTATGTGTGTATGTATGTATGTATGTATCTATGTATGTATGTATCTATGTGTGTACTGTATGTATGTATGTATCTATGTATGTATGTGTGTATCTATGTATGTATGTATCTATGTGTGTATGTATGTATGTACTGTATGTATGTATGTGTGTATCTATGTGTGTATGTATGTATGTATGTATCTATGTATGTATGTATCTATGTGTATACTGTATGTATGTATGTATCTATGTATGTATGTGTGTATCTATGTATGTATGTATGTATGTATGTATGTATGTACTGTATGTATGTATGTGTGTATCTATGTGTGTATGTATCTATGTATGTATGTATCTATGTGTGTATGTATGTATGTATGTATGTATGTATGTATCTATGTGTGTATGTATTTATGTTTGTATCTATGTGTGTATGTATGTATGTATGTATGTACTGTATGTATGTATGTATGTATGTGTGTATGTATGTATATATGTATGTATGTATGTGTGTATTTATGTATGTGTGTATCTATGTACTGTATGTATGTATGTGTGTATCTATGTACTGTATGTATGTATGTATGTATGTATGTATGTGTGTATCTATGTACTGTATGTATGTATGTATGTATGTATGTGTGTATCTATGTACTGTATGTATGTATGTGTGTATCTATGTATGTGTGTATCTATGTACTGTATGTATGTATGTGTGTATCTATGTACTGTATGTATGTATGTGTGTATCTATGTATCTATGTATGTATGTATGTATATACACTACCGTTCAAAAGTTTGGGGTCACATTGAAAAGCACTGTAGATAACTTTAAACTAGTCTTAACTGTAAAGAAATACACTCTATACATTGCTTATGTGGTAAATGACTATTCTAGCTGCAAATGTCTGGTTTTTGGTGCAATGTTGTAATTGCTGCAAATGGAGGATTCTTTGACGAAAGCAAAGTTGATGTAAAACAAATCTTATTTCAAATACAAATCATTATTTCTAACCTTATCAATGTCTTGACTCTATTTTCTATTCATTTCACAACGTATGGTGGTGAATAAGTGTGACTTTTCATGGAAAACACTTGGGTGACCCCAAACTTTTGAACGGTAGTGTATATGCAGACCTCTCCTGTCCCAGTATACATGCAGACCTCTCCTGTCTCAGTATACATGCAGACCTCTCCTGTCTCAGTATACATGCAGACCTCTCCTGTCTCAGTATACATGCAGACCTCTTCTGTTTCAGTATACATACAGACCTCTCCTGTCTCAGTATACATGCAGACCTCTCCTGTCTCAGTATACATGCAGACCTCTCCTGTCTCAGTATACATGCAGACCTCTTCTGTTTCAGTATACATACAGACCTCTCCTGTCTCAGTATACATACAGACCTCTCCTGTCTCAGTATACATACAGACCTCTCCTGTCTCAGTATACATGCAGACCTCTCCTGTCTCAGTATACATGCAGACCTCTTCTGTTTCAGTATACATGCAGACCTCTTCTGTCTCAGTATACATGCAGACCTCTCCTGTCTCAGTATACATGCAGACCTCTCCTGTCTCAGTATACATGCAGACCTCTTCTGTCTCAGTATACATACACACCTCTCCTGTCTCAGTATACATACAGACCTCTTCTGTCTCAGTATACATACACACCTCTTCTGTCTCAGTATACATGCAGACCTCTTCTGTCTCAGTATACATACACACCTCTCCTGTCTCAGTATACATACAGACCTCTCCTGTCTCAGTATACATACAGACCTCTCCTGTCTCAGTATACATGCAGACCTCTTCTGTTTCAGTATACATACAGACCTCTCCTGTCTCAGTATACATGCAGACCTCTTCTGTCTCAGTATACATACAGACCTCTCCTGTCTCAGTATACATACAGACCTCTCCTGTCTCAGTATACATACAGACCTCTCCTGTCTCAGTATACATGCAGACCTCTCTTGTCTCAGTATACATGCAGACCTCTTCTGTCTCAGTATACATACAGACCTCTCCTGTCTCAGTATACATACAGACCTCTCCTGTCTCAGTATACATACAGACCTCTTCTGTCTCAGTATACATACAGACCTCTCCTGTCTCAGTATACATACAGACCTCTCCTGTCTCAGTATACATGCAGACCTCTCTTTTTATTTATGTCTGTGTATTGCATGTATGTATTTATGTCTGTGTACTGCATGTATGTATTTATGTCTGTGTACTGCATGTATGTATTTATGTCTGTGTACTGCATGTATGTATTTGTGTCTGTGTACTGCTTGTATGTATGTATGTCTGTGTACTGCATGTATGTATTCATGTCTGTGTACTGCCTGTATGTATTTATGTCTGTGTACTGCATGTATGTAGGTATGTCTGTGTACTGCATCTATGTATTTATGTCTGTGTACTGCATGTATGTATGTATGTCTGTGTACTGCATGTATGTATGTATGTATGTCTGTGTACTGCATGTATGTATTTGTGTCTGTGTACTGCTTGTATGTATGTATGTCTGTGTACTGCATGTATGTATTCATGTCTGTGTACTGCCTGTATGTATGTATGTCTGTGTACTGCATGTATGTATGTATGTATGTCTGTGTACTACATGTATGTATGTATGTCTGTGTACTGCATGTACAGTATGTATGTATGTCTGTGTACTGCATGTATGTATTCATGTCTGTGTACTGCATGTATGTATTTATGTCTGTGTACTGCATGTATGTATTTATGTCTGTGTACTACATGTATGTATGTATGTCTGTGTACTGCATGTATGTATTTATGTCTGTGTACTGCATGTATGTATGTATGTCTGTGTACTGCATGTATGTATTTATGTCTGTGTACTGCAGGTATGTATGTATGTCAGTGTACTGCATGTATGTATTTATGTCTGTGTACGGCATGTATGTATGTCTGTGTACTGCATGTATGTATGTATGTCTGTGTACTGCATGTATGTATTTATGTCTGTGTACTGCATGTATGTATGTCTGTGTACTGCATGTATGTATGTATGTCAGTGTACTGCATGTATGTATTTATGTCTGTGTACTGCATGTATGTATGTCTGTGTACTGCATGTATGTGTCACAAGGTGGACAAAGGGAGCGTGATGGGCGTGTGTGTGATGGGCGTGTGTGTGATGGGCGTGCGTGTGTGCGTGTGTGATGGGCGTGTGTGTAATTAGGTAGAAAGCACAGGTGTGAGTGTGATATGGAAGAGGTGTCCGGAGCAGGAGTGAGCAGACGGGGCAGAGCGAGCAGCGATCGGGACAGAGCAACCAGCGCGCACGAGACATCGCGCACGGAGCCTGGCGGAGTGGACCAGAGGAGGAGACACCGGTGACAGGAGGCGTCGTGGGGAACTGGAGGGGGAGAGTACGGCGACCCCCCTCCTCGCAGCTAAGTGGCTTTCCTGTTCGTTGGCGGTGGTTGTGGGAATAAGGCTGTGGCTATTTTAGTTCTTTGGAGTGCTGTGTTCTTTTTGTGTGAGCCGGGCCTGTAGCCCCTACCACCACCAGCCCAAGCCTCCCCCCTGTCACTGGCCTAGTGTGTTGACGGCCCTCCCTCTCTACACAGGCAGCCCCGCTGCTGTGGATCGTTTTGTGCCCTGAGACCCGTGCGCACTGGCGGACGGGAGCGGCGCACCCGAGCAGACCAGGAGCAGCGCGCGCACCGGCTTTTGAGGGGCGCACCACGACGTTCACGACTCTTTTAAATAGCATTTTTAAATTGGGACCCAGTCTTTTATATAATAGTATTAATAATTAATTTTAATTGTGCCTAAATAAAATTGTTATTCCTTTCGATTGTGTTGAATGTCAATTAATAGAGTGCTCCCCATTGGACAGTAATAGGGTTGTACGGGCCCTTCACCCCCGTGACAAGTGGCGTTGCATGACAGGATTGTCCAATTGGGTTGAGCCTCTATTAATTAGGCATGTCAACCGAGGAATTGCACGCAGGTGCGCAGCCAATGATGATGATGCCATTTTTAATGGGAGGACCTTGGGTGTCTAAATTTAACGGGGTTGGATCTGAGATTAGGTTGGGAGAATGGCGATCCCAATTAGAGACTATGCTCACGTTTCAACAAGTAAGGGACGCACACAAAGCAGACTTTGTAATAGGGTTTTTAGACGGAGAAGCAAAACGTGAAATTTTGGCTTTGGATCGTGGAGATCGAAACACCCCAAAGAAAATATTTGATGCACTGTCTGAACTGTACGGGGACAACACCCATGTCTCCGCTTTAAGAACACAATTCTTTAATTGCAGACAGGAGTCTAATCAGACTTTGAGGTCTTTTTCTCTACACTTGCGTGAACTGTTTTCCAGGCTTAAACAAAAAGACACCATGGGCTTGGGGCAAGGAGACCTGGTGTTGCGAGACCAGTTCATCCTGGGCCTTAAAGAAGGACCAGTACGGCAAGAGCTTCGTCGGCAGGTACGAAAAGCCCCCCAGCTCACCTTCGATGAGGTAAAGATGGAAGCTTTAGCATTGGAGGATGAACAAGGACAGCAATGGCCTGCTTTCGAGTGTACAGCAGTGAGTAAAACCACACCCGTGAGCTCACACGGTACTGATTGGAAACAAGAGCTGCGTGCTGAGATCCTGAAGGATGTAAAGGAGCATATGTCTGAAATGACGAGGACTATTTTAGACCAGTTAAAGGGGGCAGCAGGACCTCAACCTAATTCTCCAACTTCTGGGTCCCCCCGATACAGGGACCGAAGCCCAAGACCAAGGTCCCCATATGGCCATGGCAGATTCAGGTGGGACCCCCAGGGCCGTCCCATTTGCAACTTATGTGAACAAGTTGGTCATATCAGTCGTAGGTGCCCCTCCAAACCAGCTGGGCAGGATTTATAGGCTCCCCGGCCACTGCGGGTCAAGTGTCCGGACCTCTTCCAAGTGACCCAGCTTATAATGGTTCAAGAGTTAAACTCACAGGAGACTGCCCTCTAGTGGATGTGAGAGTAGATGGGATAAACGTGAAGTGTCTGCTTGATACAGAGTCTCAAGTAACATTGTTCAGTGAGAGTCAACGAGCTCTTTAGGAGCAAACAAGTTCGTAATAGTGATGAAATTCCCTGGCTCACTCTGAGGGCAGCGAACGGACTTAACCTCCCGTGGGTAGGGTACATGGTGGCCGACTTTGAAATCCATGGGGTCCGGGTACCTGCACGTGGCATTGTAGTGGCTAAGGACGAGTGTATTGGAGCAGACAAAGCCATCCTAGGGATGAACGTGATTACTGACTGTTGGGAAGAACTTTTCACGCAGTACAAGGCCTCCCCCAAACACTCGACGCCACCACTGAGCAGGGAATGGAACACTGTTTTTATCGACTGTCAACACATCCGTGCTGCCGCTAATGCAGAGCCATGGCAAGCTACAGCGAGATTAGCCAGTCGTACTCCTGTAACCATACCCGCACAAAGTGAAATGACTGTTTGGGCCAAAATCCCACGGCCCTCTTCAAACCAGCCAGGCTGTGCGCTGGTAGAACCCCTTGGGGAAGATGGAGGAGTTGGGGTGGCCAGAGCATTAGTGACTGTGAGAAAGGCGCGCATTCCAGTGAGGGTTAGGAATGTCCATCCGTATGCTCTAACGCTCAGCAGGTTCCAGAGGCTGGCGACTGTCTCGGCCGTCGACCCTGACGCGGTGCGGGATGGGAAGGAGCTCTCCATTCTGAATGTGGGTCCTGGAGTCGTGGAGGTTAATCTGGTCGACACTGCTGATCCGGACAAACCAGAGGTGAATGAGACAACTAATGCCCTTCCCCTCTCTAAAGGAGATGGACTCACAGATGATGAGCAAAGACAATTGAATGAACTACTGCGAAGATGGAGTCATGTGTTCTCGATACACGAGGAAGACTATGGACGAACGGGGGCTGTGAAACACCGGATTCCCACAGGTGACTCTAACCCCATTCGTGAGCGGTACAGGCCAGTACCCCCTACCCTTTATAAGGAAATCCGTAGCCTCCTTAAAGAAATGCTAGACGGGGGAATAATCAGAGAGAGTTGTAGCCCGTGGGCGGCCCCAATTGTTCTGGTTCAGAAGAAAAATGGTTCTTGGCGTTTTTGCGTTGATTACCGCAAAATTAACAGTGTCACGCATAAAGATGCCTACCCCCTGCCCAGAATAGAAGATTCACTAACTAGCCTGACTAAAGCAGAGTGGTATTCCACGTTGGATTTGGCCAGCGGTTATTGGCAGGTGGAGGTAGAGGAGGAAGACAGGGAAAAAACCGCATTCACAACCCCATTTGGTTTGTTCGAGTTTGAGAGGATGCCATTTGGGTTGTGCAATGCCCCTGCAACCTTTCAAAGATTGATGCAAAGGTGTTTGGGAGATCGGCTAGCGGAGTCTGCTATGGTTTATCTGGATGATGTGATTCTATTTTCCAGAGACTTCCCAGAGCATCTCCAACACCTGGAGGCAGTATTCCGCTCCCTGGGGCAGTATGGCCTTAAGCTCCGCCCAGAGAAGTGCCAGCTTTTCCAGAGGCAGGTCAAGTTTCTAGGACATGTCGTCAGTAGCCAGGGAGTTTCGGCAGATCCAGACAAGGTAGCAGCCGTATCGAATTGGCAACCCCCTACCACGATACGGCAAGTGCGCTCATTTCTAGGATTTGCGGGGTACTATAGGCGGTTTGTAAGGGACTTTTCCAAAATTGCCAAACCCCTAAATGCACTTTTAGTTGGCACGGGCCGTAATAGAGGCAGACGTTCCCCCTCTATTGAGTGGTCCGACCAATGCGACGCTGCCTTCCAGCAGTTAAAGCAGGAATTGCTACAGGCCCCCATTTTAGCGTATGCGGATTACACACTCCCATTTGTGTTATACACAGATGCTAGTAATGCGGGGCTTGGAGCTGTATTGGCCCAGGTACAAGATGGGGTCGAAAGGGTTATAGCATATGCGAGTAGGAGTTTACATCCCGCTGAGCGCAACGACTCAAACTATAGCTCTTTTAAACTTGAGCTTTTGGCGATGAAATGGGCTATAGTTGAGAAGTTCAAGGACTATTTGTGGGGGGCTAAGTTTGCTGTAGTGACAGACAACAATCCACTAGTGCACCTGCAGACTGCTAAACTAGGGGCTGTCGAACAAAGGTGGGCTGCACAGTTGGCAAATTTTGATTACACCATCAGATACCGGCCAGGCAGGGAGAACACTAATGCCGACGTCCTTTCTAGACTGCCTGCTCCCCCAGACCGGAAATTGGCCGGAGAAGAGAGACTGGTTGGGGCAGTAGAGACTATGTCTATGGACTCTCCGCCCAATAGCTGGAGGTGGGACCCAGAGCGTTGGAGAAGTCTACAAAATGAAGACCCCGACTTACAAAGCATAAAGGAGCACGTTGAAAGAGGTACCCTACTGTGCGCTAACGAGAGACAATTGTTAACCCAATCTGCCAAGATCTTGTTGAGGCACTGGAGGAGACTAGAGTTAAGGGACGGGATTCTATGTCGGATTGTCCAAGACCCCCAGACTCTAGAGACTCTTGCCCAGATTGTTGTCCCCACATCACAGGTGAGGCCCCTATGGACTGTATATCACGAACAGATGGGGCATCCAGGATTGCAGAAGTCATTGACTCTTTTAAGAAGGAAGTTTTATTGGCCACAAATGGAGGACATGGTCAAAACCTGGCTATCTGCTTGCCCGCGATGCATGCTGCACAAACCCGGACCCCACGGTAAGGCCCCTTTAGTGCCACTTGTAGCGAGAGCCCCCATGCACATTGTTGCTGTTGATTTCTTGACCTTAAGTCGCCCTACAGATAGGTACCAAAATATATTAGTCATGACTGATTTGTTCACAAAGTTTGCATGGGCGGTCCCAACCCTGGATCAAACTGCCTTGACTACAGCACGGGCCTTGTGGACTTACTTGATCCAGCCATTTGGCTGCCCTGAGGTGTTACACTCGGACCAAGGGCCAAATTTTGAGTCTCGG